GGATTCTTTGATGAATGGAAAGTTCAAAAGAATGGCATTTATTGGTAATATAATTCCTTGGTAACCTTATAAATGTATTTACAGTCACTTAATCAATTTAATGCATCCTTGTTGAATAAAAATGTATTAAGAAAAATCTTACTGACAATCATCCCCTGCTCTTTCCATGAAGGCTTTCAGAGCACTATCACAGTAATCATGCTCGCACAAGACAGATCGAAAAGAAATGTAATTAAAACTGCTAAGAGGCATAATGGAGTTTGGAAAGCAAGGGAAGAAGCTGTCAAAGACTGCCTTTTTAAGAGGAAGCAGAAGGGTAGTCAAGAACCCATTAGATCATTAGATCTTTGAAATAACAGTTTAAGATAAATGAATTCTGGGTTTCTGCTGATAAAATGATTCTGCTAACAAACACTGACTGGCATGGTCTACAAAAGAGCAGAAATTTTGACTTGTATTAGTCATATTGCTATAAGTGACAAATTAGGGGAAATGATAGCATTAATAAAAAAAATTAAAATATACTACAATACATATTATATATATTATAAATAATAATGTATTACGTTTTCATTTATATTTATACATATTTAAATTTTCAGCAATGAGCAATTTACAATATTTAGATAACTGATATATACAATTTGAGATTTTCACAATAAACCAAAAGTAAAAATGTAACCCAAATTTTTAAATTAAAAACATTTAAAAAATTAAAAAATTAAATTATGTTTAATATATATAAACTGTATAAAACTAAATATAATGTAATATATAAAATAAATATTAATGTATATATATATATATATATATATACAGTCATCTGTCGCAAAGCTGTTGGCATGATTTTGCATATATGACAGTCTTTGGTTATAACAGCAGCAATGCATGCATGAAGCAGAAGTGTTCTCCAAAATATTAAACTCCAGCAGTGAATGTAAAGTGTCTGAACCGTTTTCAATGACAGGCGAGTTTGCGTGTATAGTACAAATGTTAAATTAAAATTAAAAGATGCAACAAATCCTTTAGTTTAAATACGGGTCTGATTCCAAAAGCAATGCAAGATTAGAGAGTCCGACCGATATGGGGTTTTTTGGGGGCCGATGCCGATACTGATATTAGGGAGTAAAAAAAAAAAGACAGATATATTGGCCTATATTCTTTGTGTAGGCTATATTATAGTACAGTATAGTCAAAAGTTTGGACACTTCCCATTCGTGTGTCCAAACTTTTGACTCTGTACTGTATATAGAATACAGTATATAGCCTACACACATACATATATATATTTATATACACACACACACACATACATACATACATACATATAGATATATCACAGTAAATTATAAACATAAAATATTAAAATAAATATAAAACATTTATTACTGTTAATAATAATTTCTTTCAAAATGAATTTTTTTGCCAGTCTATAGACTCACAGGGCTGTGTTTATGTTCCTCGTGCATATAGCGCTGAGTCCGTCGCACCACAGACGGATCTGAGCCCATGAAGGGAATGACATACTGCTCAATCTCCTTATTGAAGAACAGAGCTCCCCTGGGTACACCAAAATAGCAAGCAAATTAACACGAGTACAGATTTCCATCCTGAGAACTATTCTCCTTCACTCCTCTGGGAGTCAGCTGCTATATAAAGCATACAAATCATGATCAAGATAGTATTAATAGAATGAAATGCTGAGAATTATTTTAGAAATACTTAAAACCACCTCTTTTTAATTCTAGCGCCAACAGCTGGCAGAGGTTTATGCCCAAACTTCCTCCTTATTCTTCTGAGACTGGCACTGTCAGCAAAGCCAAAGATGGCTGACTGCCACGTTGCATCATGGCCACATCCTCCCTGATGAAGAAGACAAGACAGCTGAACAAAAGCCAAGACATCAACTACTTTATTGAGGACACGCAATGGGCCTGATGCAAACAGTCTGCTATAGCTCTCTTCATACTCGATTAAAACAGCAGGAAATACAATAACAATTTGATAGAGTGCTTATGAAATACTACATAATATGGAGCATAATTCTCATTATATTCACTCCATCCTGTCTGCTCCCCTTACACTGGAATTTCTATAAAGTAATCAAATTTATGTAATTTTATAAAACTGTTACTTCTGTAATCAAGTTTATCATTAACATGAAATCCCACAAATTCCTAGTTGGTCCATTGGGATATGAGAGCTCTTTGCATTATTCATGAGCAGCTGCAATTGTGAATTCCCAAAGCTTAATTTAAGCACTGCTTTAAACCTAGATCAAACCAACCTTTGAGAGCTCATATTCAATAAGTCAATCAAATTCCTGTGGACCCTTAATATAGATCTGCAAACATGAGGAGTTGTTGCTCACCTCAGGTCCCGTGTTGATTGTTAAGAAGCTCTCCACAGCAGTGAGCGTTCCTGTGAAAGACAGGCAGAGGAGTTGTCCGGCATCTGCTGCTCTGCAGGCACGTTTGCCCACAGCAGCGCTTCAAAGGCCAACGACAGACACTCACATCCTGTAAGCACTGAGCGCCTTTGCCTTTGTCAGTGATACGCCCCACTAATTGGGATGAGATTAAAGGAACCGACTGCACAAGAGCCATGTGAAGCAAAGGTCAAAGGGCACACACAGGGCAAATATCACAGTAATGTATGTATGTTTTACCATTAGGACACTGATGCAAAGCACACCTCTAAATATACACACACACACACACACACATATATATATATATATATATACTAATTATAAATTATTATAATTACATTTTTAAAAAAAGAATCAATCATTTTAAATGATTTTAATAATAATAAAACATTCACAAAAAATAATACAATAATAAAAAATTCACAGACATGCAACCCACCTTTGAAGTGATCCTGTGTATAACAGATGCCCATATCTGCTGGTATTGAATCAAACCCACAGCTTCCAATGATATACACACCATTCTCCTGAGCTTTACTGTGGTATTTCAGCTGTATCCCCTCTAAAAACTACAAAAAAAAAACAAGAATGAAAAAGATTTTTCAGGTTTTTTCAGGGGTCAGGTTTTTAGCCATTATATTCAGCAAGGATGCATTCAATTAACATAATAAATGTATATTTCGAATAAATTCTTTTCTTTTGAACATTCTATTCATTAAAGAATCCTGAAAAGATGTATAAAGGTTTCTTAAAAATATTATGTAGCACATCATTGAAAATAATAAGAAATATTTCTTAAGCACCAAATCAGCATATTAGAATGATTTTTTAAAAGATCATGTAACACTGAAGACTGTAGTAATGATTGCTGAAAATTATGCTTTGTCATCACATTAATAAATTACATTTTAAAACATTAAAATAGAAAACAGTTATTTTAAATCGTAAAATATTTCACAATATTACTGTTGTTTCTGATCAAATAATTGGTGAGCATGCAAGACTTCTTTCAAACACACTTTCAACCTTACAGACCCCAAACTTTTCAATGGTATCATTTTCAAAAGTAGATTATTAAAAAAAAGTGTTAGACGGATAACATTAACTACCTGTGGTTCTCCACAGATATCGATGCAGTGGGCCCCATTCTCTATGCAGGCCTTCACCACGGGCTCGCCATAGAATCTGTACTGTTGAGAGAAGACACCTCAGCACCACGGCATTTCACAGTCAACAGTTCTCTCAGAATAACACAACTCCATTTATCATTTTTTGTCATAGAGCTATCGTTGGCCTATGGGTGCACTGGGACAAGTGTGAATGCACAGATGTGTAAACTGACCCCTTCCTGTGCATTTTTACAATAGTCTTTGTGGACTTACTGGTCCCACGCAGTTGAGCACAATGATTCCTTGTTTGCACATGATGGCCAACGACTCCGGCTCGGCTACATCTGCTACAATAACCTCCACACACTTCAGCTCTGGTTTACCTGCAGACAAATGATGGAATGTCAGAGACAAATGGATCTTTCTTCCCTAACAGCTCAAAATGCTGCAAATTATAACATTTAATGTAATGCATAGACAGAACAATAGATAGAACGATAGACAGACAGACAGACAGATAGATAGATAAGATAGATAGATCACTGTATCACTTTACTCTTTAACCTATTGCATAGCTAGCTTTAAAATCCTCGATTATCGGTACAGCCTATTCCAGATGATGATGGGATTGTCCAAACATTATGCCTTTAATCAACAATATTCTCAAACCCTGTAATCCCATTTGATAATCTCAACAGACAAAATCTGCTGAAGCTCATCTAATACTATGAGCTGACTGCCTCATGTCTAGCCATGACAATATGGCAATTCAATCTATACCTAATACAAACTATGACCTATCATAAATAACATTTGTGCTTTGTAATTCTTTGTAGCTTTGCCACAAAGAAAAAAAGTGGCAGTAACATGACGGTACTAGAGGATAAAAACAGTCTTTATATATATATATATATATATATATATATACAATGGTACCACATTATTAGCATGTTCATATCAAATAAGTTTTATTTATAATAAATTCATTGTAAAATAAAGCATGTTAAAATATAATAAATAAAATAGAGAATAAAATATTAATTAATCATTTTAACAATGTAAATATTTTTAAGATTTAAAAAATAGTTTGTAATTTTTTGCAATATAAAAAAAATACACACACACACACATATATATATATATATATATTTTATTATTATGCTACAAAGTCACATAGACTATGTCTAAAATAATTACATTGTAATTACACATGTACAACATATGTACATTGTGGCGCTGCTTGTAAATAGTTACTATTCGGTTCTATTATTTTTCTATTCTATTTCCGTTCTATATGTTCTGCAATTCAGTATATGGATATTATGTGTGGCATGGGCACTTCAATGTAAAGTACAATAACAAAAACTTCAAAGTCCAAATGTACACAGAGTCAAACACCTACACAGAGCGTCAGCTGCCTGAAGGAGTGTTTTTTCCAGTCGGTCGCGGTTTCGTCCGGCTACAGCCCATTGAAACGTCCCTCCTGGACCCTCGTTACACGTCCGCGCAACCTCCTCCACTACAAACTGGCCGGTAAAACCGCTCGCTCCGAACACTATAATATGGTACGGTCTTTTGCTTGACGTTGTGAGCGTCGCCATTGTGAGTGATCCGCGTGCGAGGCAAACACAGACTAGGTCAGAGCGACCGCTGCTGCTCCTCTCTCTCTGCTGTCACTGTACAGTGTCCGTGCAAAATACAGGCGTTTAGTCAATCAGATTGTGTTTCTGATAAGTGTAGCTCAACCATAAATCCAACTGTTTGTGGGTGAAGATTCCAGAAACTGTCACACATTGAAGTAGAGAGACATCTCGTGCTGGAAAGGTGATATTACCACAACAGTTACACAGAGGAGGGTACAAGTACATTTTGTGACCATTAACATATTATATATGAAAGCAAACATATGTATATACCTAGCAATAAATTACATTTGAATGTCAGTTGATACATTGTAAGATCACAGCTTGTTAGTGACTGAATTAACACTGTTTTGAAGGCATCGGTCAAATTTAAAAGTCAGACCACTTATAACCATTCTTCTATTTATCATTTTTCTACAGTTTAACACAATTTTCTATTTATGAATACATTTTTATTACAAATTATTAATATGTCTGCATATACATTTGGTGTTAATGTTTCAGACCTTTGGCCCCCACTGTATGTTACGATTCACATATTTAAAAATGTAATTAAGCAATTTGAATGATTTCAATACATACTTTGCATTACAGTTGCATATCATATTGTTCATTTGGCAAGGCAATCATGATCATGACATTGCCTCTTGATCAGGCCTGTGTCACTAATGTTTTTTTGCTTTGTGCATCTTAAAACTTCAACTGTCCGAGAAGTTGTTATTGGATTCTGAAATGAAATTAGCTATGAGTCAGTCTGTGGGTTTCCAAAGAGAAATGCTCCTACTTCACCATAGGTTTTATTATATGTGCCAATTCCATTTCCTTTTCCTGCTGCGTCATCTTTTCTTCCATTCAGAGGACCAATCCAATATTATTATAGACAGAGCTACAGGATAAACCATAAACCACTTTCTAAATATAAAAAACACATTTCTAGTCATAATTCAGAGATCATGTATACTACTTGGGAAAGAAAAAAGAGCATACAACGAAACAGGTTTCTGGTTCTGAGCATATTCAAATATTTAAAATATTCCACAAAAACTCATTTTGACTGCTGAACACAAATCATATTTGTAATTAAAACAAACTGATTGATTGCTGTCTTTTATACTGTACAATACTACAATTATAACATCTTATATTTTGTACCTGCTGACTAAGTGTTGGAGCAACGATTAACTGACATCAAGTCAGAACAATCGATCATTGTTATTATTCAACCTGTTCATGTTCTATGTTAATAATAAAGCCATTTTGATAAGTTAATATCCCATAGTTAAAGCAATAATGCACCCAAAAATGAAAATTTACCAAAATGTAGATGAGTTTGTCTCTTCATCAGTATAGATTTGGAGAAATGTAGCATTACAGTGGATCCTCTACAGTAAAGGATCACCTCCAGTCCATTAATTAATGTCTTGTGAAGTGAAAAGCTGTGTGTTTGTAATAAACAAATTCGTCATCAAGACGTTTTTAACTTCAAACAGTTGCTGCCGGTTAAAATTTGAGTCATTTATCCATAATATTGCTTTCTTGGTTAATATTTGTTGTTTAAAATTAAAACTCCTGACTGATGGATTTGTTTCTTATAAACATAGCTTTTCATTTATCAAGATGGATTGATCTTAATTTCTTGTGGATTATTGTGATGTTTTTATCAGCTGTTTGGACTCTCGTTCTGACGGCACCCATTCACTTCAGATGTTACATTAGTGTGCAAAAGATATAATGCTACATTTCTCCAAATCTGTTCTGATGAAGAAACAAACTCTACATCTCGAGTGGTCTTAAGCTAAGTAAATTATGAGCCAATTTTCAGTTTTGAGTGAACTATTCCTTCAATATACATCCATTTATGCTTATTTTTGTTCATACTGTATGAATTTCAGTGATTATAGCACCAATGAAAAGTGCCAAGTCAAAATAAAAGCATAAATACAAAGATAAGCATGGAATACAGTGTCTTGGAGTACTAAAATGTACAAAAAACTATATCGCTGGCTGCATAGGCAGTTATTTCAATGCATGTATAGTTACTGATTCAAAGAATGGCAGTGGTACAGTATATTAAGATTATCTATAATTAGTGTTATATAAGGATTATCTGTAATAACCTGTTTTTGTACCAATATTAAATACATTATACAAATGTATTTATGCATTAGGAAGCCCTGTGTGACTCACTAAAGCAACATTTATTAAGGCCCGTCTGGTAATGTACATTAGTGCATATTATCTCAAGAGGAATACTGTTGTTAATCATTGGAAATGATAATATGAAGAAATAGTTCCACTGCATAAAATAGCTGCTATGATGCATCAGAAGAGAGCCACTGTGCGAGAGCGTCCATTCCTCGTCGTACAGGTCCAAAGTAAAAGTCCACGTTTTGCGAGAAGTCAGCACACACGTTTGAGTACGCCCCTCCAACGAGACAATAAAGAGCAGTCCCACCCATGCTAATCACCACAGTAACCAGACACAAGACGAGAAGGATGAGGCAAGAGTTTCTGGCCGACTCATCTGTATGCATGAGAAAGATGAGCTTTGATCAGTCTCACATTAATGCAGAACAGAAATCTGAATACATAAAGGCCCTGTCTGAATATATGCTTACAATCGTACCTTGATCGAAAGCATCGCCTGGCTCTCTAAAGCGGACTCTGCGTTTGGTTGAGTCTTTTAGCAGCGAGTCTTTCTCTGTTTCCCTGGCGCAGACTCTCTTCTTTAAAATAGACACTAAGCCGTCTGAGGGAAACCTCTACAGAAATATCAGAAATAAAGTATGAAAATGCTTCAAATAGACTGTACAATATGATTTTTAAGAACACATTCATAGCAAATAATGTAATAACAGCAAGTAACCACAAGGGGTCAGTATGTGCAACAGCCTTGGGAAAAATAAGTGCACTTTTAAAGAGTATTTTTATGGAAATTATACAAGCGCGAACTAAATGTAATATTTTCAGACAGAAAACGGCAAGTTATTTACAGATACATGAAAATGTATTAGTTTATTATTTTACGCCATATATATAAAAAACGTATTTGATTTGAACAGTGCTTTTTTAAGCACATCTTTATGTAATTTCATATTTTGTTCTAAAATCTAAACAAGTGTACTTATGTAAAGCATGACAAAAGATTAATAAACCATAGCGATCTGAAAAAAAATAATTTAACATCAAACAAAGTGCACTTTTTTAAAAGAGTCCTTCAGTGCAAGAAAGTCATGAACGTGTACTCGCTTTAAGTGCACTTATGGTTACTGATTCAAAGAATGGCAGTGGTACAGTATATTAAGATTATCTATAATTAGTGTTATATAAGGATTATCTGTAATAACCTGTTTTTGTACCAATATTAAATACATTATACAAATGTATTTATGCATTAGGAAGCCCTGTGTGACTCACTAAAGCAACATTTATTAAGGCCCGTCTGGTAATGTACATTAGTGCATATTATCTCAAGAGGAATACTGTTGTTAATCATTGGAAATGATAATATGAAGAAATAGTTCCACTGCATAAAATAGCTGCTATGATGCATCAGAAGAGAGCCACTGTGCGAGAGCGTCCATTCCTCGTCGTACAGGTCCAAAGTAAAAGTCCACGTTTTGCGAGAAGTCAGCACACACGTTTGAGTACGCCCCTCCAACGAGACAATAAAGAGCAGTCCCACCCATGCTAATCACCACAGTAACCAGACACAAGACGAGAAGGATGAGGCAAGAGTTTCTGGCCGACTCATCTGTATGCATGAGAAAGATGAGCTTTGATCAGTCTCACATTAATGCAGAACAGAAATCTGAATACATAAAGGCCCTGTCTGAATATATGCTTACAATCGTACCTTGATCGAAAGCATCGCCTGGCTCTCTAAAGCGGACTCTGCGTTTGGTTGAGTCTTTTAGCAGCGAGTCTTTCTCTGTTTCCCTGGCGCAGACTCTCTTCTTTAAAATAGACACTAAGCCGTCTGAGGGAAACCTCTACAGAAATATCAGAAATAAAGTATGAAAATGCTTCAAATAGACTGTACAATATGATTTTTAAGAACACATTCATAGCAAATAATGTAATAACAGCAAGTAACCACAAGGGGTCAGTATGTGCAACAGCCTTGGGAAAAATAAGTGCACTTTTAAAGAGTATTTTTATGGAAATTATACAAGCGCGAACTAAATGTAATATTTTCAGACAGAAAACGGCAAGTTATTTACAGATACATGAAAATGTATTAGTTTATTATTTTACGCCATATATATAAAAAACGTATTTGATTTGAACAGTGCTTTTTTAAGCACATCTTTATGTAATTTCATATTTTGTTCTAAAATCAAAACAAGTGTACTTATGTAAAGCATGACAAAAGATTAATAAACCATAGCGATCTGAAAAAAAATAATTTAACATCAAACAAAGTGCACTTTTTTTAAAAGAGTCCTTCAGTGCAAGAAAGTCATGAACGTGTACTCGCTTGAAGTGCACTTTTATAGCCTTTTTATTTCTTATATGTATTTCATATTTTTTAAATATACTTTTAAGATTTGAAGCACACTACAAGTGCAAATTCAATTCATTTCAGCACACTTGTTTTTCACAAAGGATAGTTGATATAAAAATGAAAATCCTGTCATTTACATGTTTTTTTTTAACGTTTACATGTTTGTTTTTCTAATATGGCTCATAGTATGTCACGATGTAAAAAAAAAATGTTTGGTTTTGTTTTTGCTTTTCCAAGTCAAATCAGAGGCCGAAACAAAATTGCAGTCTTCAAATCACTATAAAATAATAGTGTACAACAAACAAACAAATCATGTAATGCATCATTTAGCTGTCGTGTGTGTTGATTGAAAAAGTCAGGAACTCTTTCTGACACAGTGCGTCTCTGACGCAGCTCTGGAAAAGGTTTATGCAGTTGGACTGTTATTTAAGATGACCACACCCAATAGCTTTGGGAACCCATACACTCCCTGAACGCTTCTTTATAAAATTCCTGCAGCTGGCTGCCATAATGCTGTGGATGATTTTTTAAATATACTTTTAAGATTTGAAGCACACTACAAGTGCAAATTCAATTCATTTCAGCACACTTGTTTTTCACAAAGGATAGTTGATATAAAAATGAAAATCCTGTCATTTACATGTTTTTTTTTTACGTTTACATGTTTGTTTTTCTAATATGGCTCATAGTATGTCACGATGTAAAAAAAAATGTTTGGTTTTGTTTTTGCTTTTCAAGTCAAATCAGAGGCCGAAACAAAATTGCAGAGTCTTCAAATCACTATAAAATAATAGTGTACAACAAACAAACAAATCATGTAATGCATCATTTAGCTGTCGTGTGTGTTGATTGAAAAAGTCAGGAACTCTTTCTGACACAGTGCGTGTCTGACGCAGCTCTGGAAAAGGTTTATGCAGTTGGACTGTTATTTAAGATGACCACACCCAATAGCTTTGGGAAACCATACACTCCCTGAACGCTTCTTTATAAAATTCCTGCAGCTGGCTGCCATAATGCTGTGGATGACATCACGCTATTTTACTTTCACAAAGCAGAGAAACCCTGTGGCTAAGAAATGTGGCTTGAGAATTGGAAGAAAGTCCCACTTGACCTTTTACAAAGTCATATAAATTCAATTTGAGGACCCAGATTAATACATTGCATACTTAGGCCCTGAGGAATACAAATCGTTCAGTAAGCGGATGGTTTGGAAAGACTGCAGCAGACGGATGGTGTCTCAGCATGCTTAGTTTTTCTAAGGGCAGATGGTAACATGTAAGAGATTAACATCACTCCTACAGCGTCTTACCTCTTCTACCTGAATAAGGCTGGCCAGCTCATCCGCAGGAACCTGGCCGTCAACGACTGTGTCATCCTGGAGCTCGTCATTCCAGCACTCATCCTCCTCAAGACCTTCCTCGTCCTCTTCTTCTTCCTCCTCCTCCTCCTCATTCAATTCACAGTCCTCTTCTGGCTCCTGTTCAGCTTCTGGCCATGAGCAGTCCTCCGCCCGGTTCTCTCTCTCGGTCGAGTTCACTGAAGCTTGTTCTTGTTTTGATTTTCTGTGTTTTGACACGAGGCTTGGGCAGTTGTGTAGTTTTATGTCGTCCATGTTCTGCAATAACAGAAGGCTTTAATCAGACTCACAAAAACATAAACTGCATAGGTGGCTAATAAAACAAGTGTAATGTTTTACCTTTTCCAAAGAGAGGTTAGGTCTGAAAAAGGAGAAGTAGAATTCAATTTTCTATGTAATATAATATGCACATCTAAATGTTTAATTTGTGTAAGTATGCATATGTGTGTGTGTGTATGTATGTATGTATGTATATATATATATAAAGTAAAAAATGAAGTAAAGTAAAACGTGAAAATAAGGAAAAGTACATACATCTAATTTTTTTATGTTTCCCCTATAAATCTGTTTAAATTGATGGGGCTTGATGAGGCCTGGTTTTGTCAGGAATAAATATTTTAGGGAAGGAAATAAAATGCTATTATTATTATTTTCTACTTGCTTGGACAGTCCTTGTCTGCACACAGTCTCACCTCTGGTGTGTTTTGCAGATATGACTCAACAGTTCCATATGCTCTCTCTCTCTGTCAGTTCCATTCGGGTTACTTTCAGTTTGGACGCTGATTGTCCTCTGGGACTCTGAAACCAAACATATGGATTTGAGTCTTTGAATCATTTTGACTGTGTCTCATAGTCTCCCATGCATTTACCTACTCATAGAATATGTGAAAGCAATCTAAAAACATGCATGCTATTCTCAGTTCCTAATATTTCGTACCAAAAAAGCTACAGTCCACAGTCAGGTCTTGTTGCCAGTTAATCAGATAAGAAGGGAGAGTCTGACCTCTGTACTTCAGTGATACTGGTTAAATAACAGAGTCACATGTGGTCTGGGCAATGAAGTGCAGTTAGGAAATGAGCAATTTCCTGAGCTCAAACCATTCCACTTCTGTTTAGTTATGAAGGATGAAACTAGCATTTGTCCTATTTACAAAAGGAGTCTCATCCTTACCAGATAAAACAATGCTTCAGGAAATTCCCTCACATGTAAACAATGTAACCTCCCCTGGTTAAAAAGTTATTTCAGGAAGTATTTTTTCATATTATTATCCATAATCATCTGGCATCCTTACCCCATTTCTCTTGTATGGAGGCCAGATTAGACAGCAGTCTTTCATGATACAGCTTCTCCAGATGAAGAAACTCCACTGCCCACTGATCTGAAATGCTCGATGCTTAAAGAAACCAACACTTAAAAGTGTGTGTGTGTGTGTGTGTGTGTGTGTGTGTGTGTATCCATATTCTATATATACCCTTTTCAAAGATTTGTTATTTTTTTAAGAAATGCATACTTGTATTCAGCAAGAATGCATTAAATTGACCAAAAGTGTCAGTAAAGACATTTATAATGTTGCAAAATATTTCCATTTCAAATAAATGCTGCTCTTATGAACTTTCTATTCATCAAAGAATTGAAAAAAAAAATTATCATAGTTTCCACAAAAATATTAAGGCAAGACACTGCAGGTGAATAGGGTAAAAAATAACTAATAGTTATCGCCTTACTTACCCAGCTGATTGATTACATTGATAATTGCCAACGTTTTTTGCATTACAAGTTTTCTAAAATGATAGGTTTAGATATGCAAATGAGTCATTATTTAATGAAATATGCGCTAATTTGCATACATTTCTAGTACAAAAATCTAAACATTGGGTGAAGGCAGTTTCAAAATGTTTGTTTAATTTTTTTGACATATTAGAGTCAAACGTTTTTACAGAGGGAATTTGGGGCATCTCATTTTTGTCACTCCATAATTCAGAAAATGATTAGAACGGACAGAAAACACTATATTTTCACAATTTTGGGGGGATTAAAATGTTGTATATAATCAAGCAAATTATATATGAACAAATCCCTCAGTAAAAACCTTCAGGATATAGACAGGAATACAAATGTTAAGTTTGGTGTGTAAGAGCTACTGAAGTGGAGATTTATGGCTCAGTATAGGAGAAAAAACTCATTTTGAGAAAACGGCCTTTAAAAATATGTATTGTAATTTAAATCTATTGTCACAAATAGATAAAGTGCTAGAAAAGAAACACTTAACAGTGTCTTTTGGATGTTTTCTTTCCACTAGTCTGAAAAAACACTTTATGAAAAACCAAAAAGCCCAAAATCTCAAACTTGACGGGTGCATGAAAAAACTGTGTTTTTGCCTGCAGTGTCTCCCCTTTAGTACAACCATTTTCAACATTGTTAATAATAAGAAATGTTTCTTGAGCACCAAATCAGCATTTCAGAATGATTTCTGAAGGATAATGTGACACTAAAGACTAGAGTAATGGCTGCTGAAAATTCAGCTTTGTCATGAAAGGAATAAAGTACATTTTAAACTATATAAAATTGAAAGCAGTTATATAAAAATGTAATATTTTACAATTATATCACTGTTTTTCCTGTATTTTTAATCAATTAATGCAACCTTGGTGAATATAAGAGACTTCTTTCAAAAAAAAAAAGGAAGACCATATGATGACAATTATAAAATAAATCTTTCTTTCACTGTTTCAAATTACTTAAAAATCTATCAACATCCTTCCTTTTGTGCAACACCCTACAAGTCAACATGGAAAGACACACCCTAATGAGACTCTTGATTACGCTTGCCCTGGTCACTATGACAGCAGCATCAACAGGGACCATTTAGTGATAGTAAAGGAAAGTCAGAGAGGAAACAGACAGAAACCAGGAGAAATACAGTGGTGGATTTACATTCAAAAAAGGATACAGTCCTTTTCAAGGAAGTAGCCCTCCGCTATCTGTAATGGAAGGCAAATATCAGCAAGTTAAATATTACATCTCCTTACCACATTTATCTTCCAAAGACAGTTTCATCAAGTCTTCTGTTAAAAGACTCTCAGCTGGTCGATCAAAGTCTATTTCCTGTTAGATCTGAATCCAGAGTCTTGATTTCATTAGTTGTAGTGAAGAGCATCTTTAAAGGGATGGTACTGCATGAACATGTGAATGGGTCTGACAGTGAGTGTGAACGAGGAAAGTCACGTGCAAGAAATAACTGCTCTATCTTTGCCCATCTAATGAATTCTCTTACATGGATCGTCTATATTTAGTGTAAGACAGGAAAATGAATTGTTTTCTACTGTACTCTTGATTTTATCTAACTATAATAATCTCATTGAGAAGCAATTTGCTCCCCCTATTATAACTCTACAGGGAGATTGAAAAAACAACTCCAGTGAGCACATTTCGGTAGTTTGTCTTGTTGACAGATCTGATTATAAATGTGCATGGTGTTTAGTTAATAATTGTTGAAGCTTATTTGGATGGCCGGAAATGCTGACAAAATACAGAAAAAACAGAATAGTTCATTTTTGTACTACTTGTATCATGTTTTGGCTGAATTTATTGAGGCAGTTTAAACAGAAAGATATTGAAGCTTGTTTCTGACACAGGATTAAAAAAAAGTCATTACTTTTTATCTCACAAATTTGTTTTCTCATAATCTCAAGATATAAACTCAGACTTTACATCTCGCAATTCTGAGTTTATATCTCACAGTTCTGATTTTTTTTTCTCAGAATTCTGAGTTTATATTTTGCAATTCTCAAATATTTTCTCTGAATTCTGAGTTTACATCCTGAAATTCTGTTTTTTGTTACTGCCATGAAATTATTATTTTTTAAATAACAAAAGGTAATTTACGACTTTTAACTGACATCTCTGACTTTTTCTTGCAATTGAGAGATTATGTAACAATAAATATATATATATACTCGGTTCTGAGATTATGCAATACTGACTTTTTTCTTTGAATTCTGAGTTTACATCTAGTAATTCAGTTTTTTTGTTACCGCCATGAAGTAAAAAAGGTAACTTGTGACTTTTTAACTCACAATTCTGACTTTTTTCTTTCAATTGAGAGATTATCTAACAATACTGACATTTTCTTATGAAATTGCAAGTTAACATCTCTTTATGTTGTACTGACATTATGTCTTATTTATAACTTTATATCTTGCAATTCTCTCTCTCTCTATATATATACCGTGTATATATATATATATATATATACACACACACCTTTTATGTTCCAAGAAAAAAAAAGTAAGTACTTTCATTAGGAGGAGCTACAACTTAAGTATTATTTTATTCATTAAAAAAAACATATGGCAAATCAAAGCACCAGAATACTGCAATATAAACGGCTTACCATGATCTAAAGAGCAGCTATGGCTCTTGGTGTTTGTTGGAGAGCTCTCCTCTGGGTTCCTGTTCTCTAAGTCGAGTTTAACCGCTTGCAAGTCCATAGCCTCTGCCTCCTGCAGTTTGTTCTGATTCTCATCGGAGACTGTTAGGTAAGACGTAATGATGTCCTCTTCGGTCGGAGTTATTCTGGTCGTCTCTTTCCATCTTACAGACTTCCTCGTCTCGGACTCCTCCATAACTGCAAGGTGATCACAAAGAAGATAGACAGTCATGAAACTGAATCTATATCTTCATCAGAATTCAAGAGGAAACATTTTAAAGACTTGATGTCTGTTTTTCAAATTCTTTACTCTGCTGTTCCTATCTGCCATCAGTGACAATGCATTACATTTATCATAAAATGAATCTTTTTCCTCAAAAGAATTCAGAGTGGAAACACAAGTAGGACAGGTTTGGTGTTACTGAATATTTTTTCAAGCAGATCTCGGGCCTTACTTACAAACACAGTGTCCTAACAGTGAACCAACACTCACTTCAGTTACTCCCGGAGCCAACAGCAAGCGCAAACTGACAGGTGTGTACAAAAACATGAACCAGTTACAGCAGCGATGCATAATTCATGGGATAGGGGCTCTTGTCTTTCACTCTGTCCAGGCATTTCGAAGGACGAGCATTGAAACCAGAGACAGAGAGATGGAAAAAGGGTGGAGTGTGGATGTCCTCATTGTAAATAAAGTGGCAATGCCAGTGTGGTAACAAAACAGGGTGTATGATGAGGTGGAAAAGGCTGAAAGAAAAGTCGAGATGTTTCTTGACACAACATGACCACAGCTGGCCTGATCGGTGTCAAGATAAACCCTTATGAAAGCTGAACAGTGTGAACATATATACAACAGGGTGAGCAAATAACAAGACATGCTGAGATTGACACTGTACCTAATGCAGCAAGAGGGCAACAGTTTTGTTTGCACAAAGTATTTATTTAATATACTAACTAGGCATATACCGTTCAAAAGTTTGGGAATTTTTTATGTTTTTAAAACAAGTTTGTGATGCTCATTAAGGTAGCATTTATTTGATCAAAAATACAGTACTGTGAACTATTACTACAAAGTAACTGTTATAAATTTTAATACTTAAAAATTGTATTTATTCCTTTGATGGCAAAGCTGAATTTTCAGCAGCTATTACTCAGAAATGATTATAATATGTCGATTTTTATCAAAGTTAAAAACGATCTTTTTTTTGTGGGAAATGTGATATATAATTTTTGATGAATATAAAGTTCAAAATAGCATTTTCTTGAAAAAATATTTTTGTAACAATGGAAAAGATTGTCATTTTAGATCAATTTAATGTAGTTGGCAGCAATCATGTAAATTAAAGAACTTCAAATCTGAACCTTTATGCTGTTTTTTTTATATGGAAACACATTTCAGAATTGTTTATATTATTTCAAGTACCTTGAGGTACCACATAAAAAAAATGAATTTTATTGGTTGTGATACTATTATCTAACAGGCTAAGTGTTTTTTGTTGTTGTTGAAAATCACAGTCACAGCTAATAACCACTTTTAGAGTGCACTATACCATGAATTAACATACTTTGACAGGCAAAGTGATTAGTGTGTCCAATAACCTGCTGAGTTAGATGTCAGGACATGTTTAACAGCAGTCAGGTTTTCACATGCCATAGGAACATTTTAAATAAATAATATCCTAAATCTGAACCCTTTAAGAAGAAAAGAAAAGGCATGCGTTATCTGGCCCTTTTGGTCAACTTTGAAACTTGTAGCTTATTGAACTTCTAATGATTTTACACAATTATGAATTAATGAGTCTGCTAAATGTAAATACAACATCATAACGTGAGTTGGTCATTTTGGTACATTTATATATCCCTTACTTCTCCTAAAAATCTAGTTTTGCATATATAATATCCTAAATCTGAACCCTTTAAGAAGAAAAGAAAAGGCATGTGTTATCTGGCCCTTTTGGTCAACTTTGAAACTTGTAGCTTATTGAACTTCTAATGATTTTACACAATTATGAATTAATGAGTCTGCTAAATGACTAAATGTAAATACAACATCATAACGTGAGTTGGTCATTTTGGTACATTTATATATCCCTTACTTCTCCTAAAAATCTAGTTTTGCATACATAGTCTACCTTAGCTTGCACACAAATAGCCTACACATCGTTGAAAGATGGTGTAAAGGGCGCGTGCTTTAGTGTCGCGTACCCATTTCACAGCGTCTTGCCCTTTATCACTGTTTTATTTTCATCAGAACCATTTCAAGACGAAACCCAGACACACGACTCATTGAAATATCCCTGTCGTACTTACGTTTAGTTTCTGTATTGATGTTACAATGGTCCGCATCTGTAAACGTGCGCACGCGCAGCGTTCATATCTGTTCTCAGAGCTGCTCAAGCGGAGACCCCAGACCCCTCTCTGTCAAACACACACCGATCTGAAATCAGTTTCGATGCCCTGCCTGTCTCTGCATCTGTGCAGTTGTTTACGATCCAAACAGGGGCGTTTCTTTTCAAGGTTTCGGTCTTGCTGGGCGTTTAGTGCCACCCATCGGTTCATATGGGGCACTGACATTGGAAATGTGTTTGGAGAAAGATCAAACTTGACATAAATTGTAGCATGTTCTTTTTAAAACACATTAATTCGTTTCAAATGTCCGTTTCTATTTACCCACAGAATGCATGATTACTATAGCTGCATAAAAATGTATTATATTAAATAGCCTATACTACAAATTTTTTAAAAATATACTAGGCCTATATATTATATAGCCTATAATGCTGCAATATTTAGTCTTGTACACAAGGCTAGGCCTGTGTTTTTATAAATTACCTCATACTACATGCATTTTAAATTGATGACTGAATAGTCTTCACCAACTTTGCAAAACCAAACAATATCCAATAATGTTATAAGCAATGAACTCCTCTGAATGTTTCCTTCGATTATGAATTAAATTACCCCTCATCAACAGCAACAGCAAAAAGCTGGTATAAAGCAAAAGTCTTGTGTTCAGTTTCAGTAATCCATCAGCATCATATCCAAAGCTATTCAAAATGTTTTCAGAACTCTTTCTCCAAAATATAAATAATCTATGTGCTGACATTACAGCTTTGAGGGCAAACATGAAATGGACGTTAGAAAATGTAGGAACTGGAGCAGAAAGTAAACGCAACCCTTGAAACATGAAGTCATTACGGTGAGCTGCTGCATGTCTGTACTGTGTCTGACTTCATAATAGGGACGTTTTTATCCTATTGTACCATCTGAGTGAACTCTGCATTTCATCTCAATCATCTCATGTTTTGACAGCACAATGAGCTGATCAGTTGACTCATCTGTTTTAGCAATTCTCTGTGAAAAACACAAACCACAGATTTTAGTGTCTGGTTTTTAAGAAAGTCATGTCATGTTTCTCTTTCGATGATTACAGTGGGTATTAATTATATAAATAAATTATTACAATTTCAGTAAAAACATTGCTTAATTTAAATAAAAACCTATAAAGTGAATAACAACCTTTTATTAGCACATACACAATAAGGATAAAAGGCATTTACAATAAACGTAGTTTTGTTTAGTGCAGCAAAACATACACTGGGTGTTAAAAATTACTTCTTTACAGTGTTTTACAACCTTGAAGGTGACTATAACTCTTTAAGTAAAAGTTGCTTTTACAGAGGTAATTTTATCCCCAAATAAAGGCCACTTTAAAACTTGGCTTAAGCATTTTTTTATTTTACACAAGTAATTTTGAAAAGGAATGGGTTACTATGTTTAAACTTGCAAAATGAATTCCAAAAGTAGGCCTAATATAGCCTACTGTGTGAAACAATAAGGTGCTAGAATGTTACAGTGAGTTGTTTAACAATAGACAGCACATCGTAAACAAGAAATACTTGAGAACGAAACAGATTCAAATGTTGAACATTTTTACAGATGGACAAGCTTTACAGGTCACATGCTCATTGCATGCTGTAGGCTACACTGTTAAAATATTGTTAACCTAGTAAATATGCCAGAAGGAAAGTTAACCCAGGATTTGCAAATGTGCAGTTGGAAATCCTGAACCCTGACTACCCAGAATTAACATTTGAACAGTTAAAAAAAAAAACATGGGTTAACAATTTCAGACAGCAGTCTGCAGTCCAATGTGTTGTTTTGACCTTCTCTGTGCTAAAGCTAACAACACAAACACTGACAGCAACTTAGATTTCAAGTAGAGCCTGAACAGCATTATTGGAAGCTTTCCTATAATGTGATGATTTTGAGATGGTTAGAGGATTTGTACAGAGCTCCTCAGGGGACATGAAGATAAATAAAATGAGAAGAAAGAAAAATATATATATTTCAATGTTTTTGCGTTCTCACGAGTTCGCTCACAACACCTTTTTAATGGAAATAATATGATGTGGGAGTAAAAACTATATTCCATCTAGCGAACGCTAAGTTTTCAGACCACAAAAGCATTTTTCTTCCCTTCTCATTTTTTTCCATCACTATGTCCCCCTAGTTGCTCTGTATATTTGCACGAATATCATTTAATATTTTGCATAACAGGTAAAAGTGGTCATGTAAAATCTTGGCATGCTATATTCCTGCGAACGTTGTATGATCTATCGTGGGCCGATGTCGTAACTTTTGTCTGCACTTGGGTGTAACATCAAAGCTGGTGACCATCAAGACATGTGCTTTGCAGAGGTTAACATGACGCTCTAGCCGTTGAGTGACTTGCTCCAAAGCCTCTAAGTGTTCCAGGGAGTCTACCTCAAACGTTTGCCATAAGTCAACTGCAAAACACATCACACAAATAGCATAATAATTAATGATGACACAGTAAGCAGAACCATAACAACCCTACAGTTTGCTGTCCTACTGCAGTGCTTAATTTTACTTAATATACATAAGCAAACATGTTAACCCTTACATTCACGGGTCCATTTTCCAGGGTCCAACATCAGATGATGCTTGGCATGTTCCAACTCTCGCCTGAGAGCATTATACCTGAGTCTCACCTCTGCTATTCTCTGCTGTCGATGCTCCAAGAATTTCAGCTTTGCACTAAAGAGGACTATACCCTGAAAACGTGGATGACAAAAAGTAAGTTTGCCTCCATATAAAATGTGAGTGAGCTGAGATTAGCATTTGGCCTACCATTACACCACATGGTTTTATATTAAAGTAATATTACAGTTTTTCTAATACTTTTTAGCATTTTCAAATCAGACACTGTATTCAGCTATCTTGACCCACAAAGCCATCAAATACACAGATACACTGAATTACACACTGTGAAATTTATTTAAAGCATATGACCATGACTGCTTACTACAATGAATGAGCAACTATACATTGTAAACTCTACAAAATAAGACTAGCCTACTACATAAATTAAAGTGAAAAATAAGAACAGGGGGAAAAAAACACATTTCTGAGCATACAGTTTTGGTTTTGTGATAACAATATTGTTTTGATGAAATTAAGCACCATTTGAGGAAAAGTATCTTTACTACTTGGGAAAAAAATGGTATATGAAACATTATATATAAGAGAACACATCATTGTCAAAATTTCCTCAATGTGTACAATACATTATTGAATAAATACTTAAATAAATTTTTTAATGAAAACTATACAAATAACATATTTGAAAAACAAAATAATGTAAAATATTTCCTAAATATTCAACAAAAAGTTGCATATTTTTCAGTAATAGAAAAAATAGTATGTATAAACAATGTAAAATCACATTTATTCTGAATCAGTATATTGTTTCTAGTCTGAGTCAGAGTTACAAAAAACAAAAAAAAACAATGAGTGTTTGAAGTTTTCTTAAGGCTGGAATACATTACACAACTTTTAAAATCAGAGCAGATTTCAGCATTTACAGGTCATTATAAACACAAACTTGCGCCTAAAACTCTGACTGCTTTGACTTTTGCCAACTAACGCTCTCCTACAGACTGCAAATCTAGGCAAAAGGCATGTAGGATATCCCAACCTTTACTTCTAGAAAACAGTGTTGCGAGTCAAGATAATTGCCTAAAGAACAGATTTTTGTGTGTAAGCAAATCAGAAAGCTGTACGAGTTGAATCAAGCACTACCAATTTAATGGACCATACAACGACAGCAGTTTGTGAATGAAGTACAAAGCAGACAGACAGACAGAAATGTTTTTTTCATTGACACATTTTGAACCTCACCTTGTTCCCTGCCCCACCTCTCTTCTGTATGCCATTTACATTATCAATCTCATAGACTTTAATTTCATAAGAGTCAGAACCACCCCGATCCACCCGGTGCGTTTTGGGCCCACTGACAGATCTCTTCAGTGACAGGAGGTTGTCTTGAGATGGACGTCTTAGACTGGACCCTGTGGACAAAGACAGGTGAAGACCATATTGTTTTTTTTATGCCAGAATGCATTGATTTAAAAAAACTCCTTACCTATGTTGGTTCTTTTCTTGTTACTTCTCATGCCTTTAGCAGCACCGAGCGAGCAGCTCTGATCGCTGATGGAGTTGTGCGTTGAACTGCTGCTGATTGTAGCTTCACTGTCTCTCAACATGCTTTCATAGCCACTACTGACCATACTGCTCCTGTTATAGAGTAAAGCCGTTTTACACATGGCAGGAGGCAGCTCTCCACTGAGAACACTGGTGGTATCGCTGGCATGGCCGCTGCAGTGGTGTGGAGTCCGTGGAGCCGTGATCCGGCTATACGGGGATGGCAATGTGTGAACGAAAGGTTTCATCATCCCCAGTTCCTCACATTCATCTAAATCTGACCCACCTTGACTAAAAGCAGAAAGAGAATCTCTACTGCTTCTTAAAAGCTCAACTCTTCCTTTCCGGACTGCACCGGGTGACTTCAAACTGCCGTTGTCTTGACTTCGGGATAGGGAGTGTATTGACCAGGAGCTCTGGCTGACAGGTGCTCCGTTAGGAGAAAAGCTTGAGCTCCGGTTGATCGTGTGTCTAGTGGGTTTGGGAGACAAGTCTGGCATCTTGTGGATCTTTGAACCGGGCATGAATTTATTAATGGTTGTGATCTTAGAGTGACCGTTTTTTGATGGCCGGGTTGGATCATTGGCATCATGCATGGGGAAGAACTGTGGAACCCTACCGAGACTCTGGCTAGCTCGACACCTTACAAAGTCCTCAAAGTCTTCTTTAAAACCTAGCGGGCTGGGTTGTGCTGAAATATAATCTTCATCTAAAAGGCCTTTCGGAGCCATATCGATGAAAGCAGTCTCTTCAAGGAACTTGCTTTTAAGTCTTGAGCTAGAATTACCTTCCAAGCTTCCTGTTGAGCGCCCGCTCTTACTGTGATCCCATGTTTGGCTCCTGCCGGATAATGCTTTCAGTTTTGCATTAAACAACTTGCTGCTCTCCTCAAAATGAGATTTAGTGTTGGTCGTAGTTTCAGTAGCCATGTTTATCGTTGCATTTCTGGCTATTCCAGATTCTTCTTTCGTCTCTTTTCTTTTGAGAGTGGGACTGTTTGTTGATGTTGGTGGCATATTGTCTTTGGTCCAATCTACAGGACCGCCTTTCTTTGTATATTGTTTCTTCTCGGGAGTTTCTCTTGGACTCTGTGGGTTCTTTTGTTCTATTTTCATGTGAGGGACATCCCAGACGTCTTTCTTGTTGTTTTGGCACAACCAGCTCTGCTCAGGTTTAATTTCACAAGTATATTTTCTGGACTTCGAGACCTCACAGGGAGGGTCAAGTTTAACCATGGCTCCTTTAGGTATCTCCTTCACATCTTCAGTCAGGGGCACCTCAGACCAAGTATCAAGCTGCGGAAGGTTTTTTGAATCAATGAAGCCACCTGCCTTGTCAATATGTGCATTGGTTTTTGTGTGTTTAATATCTGCATCTGATGAGACCGTGGGGGCGTCATGCTCTGAACTTTGTGCATTAGAGTTGGAACTATAAAAACTTGCTGTTTGTTCTTCACCTACGCTGCCGATAATCCTGACAGACTGACTTCCTGGCGTTAAAGCCTGGAGAGAGTGTGACTCATGAATGCTTAATATTTGTGCCTTTCCTTGCTCAGTGGCCCCATTTATTGTTACCTCCTCAACCACGGTATACACAAGCTCATCGTGTCCATTAAGATCCAGTGGCTTCTGAACAGTTACAGTGATGGTGGCCCTCATCTCTCGCTGTTTTTTTCCTGTACAATGTGGAATGTCTCCATTCAAAGAGGCAGAAACAGCCGGTGGGGAGCTCAAACTGGAAGACAGGGATGATGAAAAAGAAGAGGACGAGGTAGACCTCGGAGAACTCTTGCCGATGGGAGATATTCTTGTCTCAGATTGCAATGTGGAATTATCCGATAATCTCATTTTACCTTGGTCTTCCAATTTCAAAGATAGTGCAGTGGGCATCATATTCATTATTTTATTATGAAGCTTAGATTTGCTTAGAGATAGGCTACACAGCATGGGATCACTCGGTTTGACAACATCTAACTGTGGCTGAATAATCTGTGAATTGGCGGTACTTGGAATTTCTTCACTGTTGTGAATTATCGCAAATGTTTTTGAGGAGTTTCCTTGTCTGATACTATTGGGTTCTCTGTTGTTTAATGCTTGAATGTCCAATGAATTGGATTTCTTTTTGGTTTGGCTTAAGCGAGGTGATTTGCTCACAGGGTTCACTTCCTGATCTTTGCATAGATCCAACTCTGTTCCGTCTATGTTCCCCAGTCTATTCTGGAGTTCTGCAAATGTGTTGCACTTCAGGCACTCAAAATCTGATTTATCTTGCAAAATTGTTGGTGTTGACTCTTCTTTAGTCTTTTCTTTTGATATCTGCTTCATGCGATTGGAAATTGGTGGAGAGATTTCACAAAACTTCATCAGTGAGAGCTTCTTGGACTCCAATTTGCTCTTGAGTAAGGATGGAATAATAGGCAAAACCTCTCTGCTCCTATTTGTAACCTCTTTATCTAGGAGGCCAGAAGGATCCATAGAGATAATGGTATCACAAGACTTATCACTCCCAGGGTAAAATACTGGATCACTAGAGAAACCAGGAGAGGAGAGATCTTGATCCAGTGTTCCCGTAGATTGGAATCTCAGCTTGGTGGAATTATTAAATTTCCTCTCGTTGCCTAAGCTTCTTCCTCCAGGCGAGCTTGAAGAAGATTTCTGGAGAAAAAAAAATGCAAAAATAAAAAACTTAGCCTAAATTCACAGCACTTGAAAACTGGGGAATATGTCCATAATTCAAAAAATAAATAAATGTACATTTTATAACTCATATGAGATATATAAAATGATTTATATAAAAAGTAAAGCATGGTCTAAATTAACAGAACCTGAAAACTCGTGAACATGTCTATAAGCATACCCTTATCTTTTTCTTCTGCCTTCGCATTCGAGTCACAGTCTGCATCGTACAAAGGCTTTCTGTAAGGTCCTCAGACAAGGTGGATATATGGGCAATAATTGTGGTGGAGCAGTTGACATTGCTCAGAGAGTCTTGCAAAAGCATGGCTAATTTACTTCCCCTGTAATGAAGAAATGATCACTAATTAAATTGACTTAATTACTTTTTACTTAAAGGGATAATTCACCCAAAAATGAAAATTACCCTATGATTTACTCACCCACAAGCTATCCTAGGTGTATATGACTTTCTTCTTTCAGACAAATACAATCTGAGTTATATTCAAAAATGTTCTGGCTCTTGAAAACTTTATAATGGCGGTGAATAGTGGTCAAGATTTTGAAAAAATAAAATAAAGTGCATCCATCCATCATAAAAAGTGATCCACACTGCTCCGGGGGGGTGAATAAAGGCCTTCTGAGCATAACCGATGCATTTGTGTAAGACAAATATCCATATTTAAAACTTTATAAACCATAAACTCTAGCATAACTCTAACTGTTGTACATGTGACTGTGTGAATGTAGGACGTAGGTGTAGTGTAAGCTCCGGTGAAAGGTGACGAACACAGAAGCACAGAGGAGAGAGCAAAACAAAACACCGGTCACGAATTAGAAGTACAAAACAAGGATTTGATGTTGGAAAGGTAAAATGTTGGAGGATTTCGATATAAGCCAAGAGGAGACTGGTTTTCCTTTGCTTGAAACAAAACTTGGTTCTTTTGATGAAGGATTTAAAGCTGCAGTCCGTAATATAATATAGCCATATAATAAGTGAGTACACCATGAATCCATTTTCCAAACCGTGTTTTTGGCTTGTCCTGAATCACTACGGTACACCTATAATAAGTGTTTATATTCAGACTATTTTAGACTGGTTCTGGTAGGTACCGCTGCGGAGTAGCCCAGTACCTGCGTGATTCGTCATAGACAAAAACGGAGAGAAGTAGCTCCGGCTACAATTTTCTTCCGCAAGACGCACTTAGTTCTGTTTATTAACCGCTAGAGTGCCAAAAGTTACAGACTGCAGCTTTAAGCACTTTATTTTGCTAAAAAAAACTTGACCACTATTCAATGCATTATAAAGCCTGGAAGAGCCAAGACATTTTTAAATCTAACTCCGATTGTATTCATCTGAAAGACGAAAGTCACATACATCTAGGATGGCTTGAGGGTGAGTGAATAATTTTTATTTTTAAGGGAAACTATTCCTTTAATTAAATCACTGTGCTTTATGTTCATATACTATTAGTAGTTTCCTACTTTTATAATCCAGACATACATAGACATACCTATTAGGGACGTGATTATGTCTGTTGAGATTGACTGTGATAAAGTTTCCAAGCTCAGCGAGGCAGACTCCACAGTTGCTTCCTTCCCTCTCCCCCACGCAGCTCCCTAAATCGATCAGGCTCAGCTTGCTTTGATCCACATTCACTGAGGAAAGTATATATTTTAATCACACCAGACATTTCAAAAATAATACTAAAGAAACAAACAATTTTAAGAAAAAGGTCATATCATATATGCAAAAGAGTATTTTTTTAATATGCTAAAAACAGAAACAAGTATGAAATTTCAATCTCCTGGATCAGTATTGTGTGAGAAATGTCATCTAATTGGCCTTTGTTTATTTTAAGATCTGTACTGAGAATCTGCTCATATACATCTCTATATTAGAGTCATGAAAAGGCAACTGAACTCACTCCCAGATTTGGTGCTGCTTCCTATGTGCTGTTGGCGAACATGCAGGGTGAAGAACATGTGACAACAATGTGGTGGTCTCCCTCCACTGTCCACCATCCCACTGCGAGATGCAAGAGCTGCATCTAGTAGGAAAGCTGCTCTTTCTGGAGTTGGAGCATTTAGTACACTGTGGTTGCAGAGCTGGGATCAAGATAACAAAATCTAATAATGAGACTCTCAAGTAAATGGGAATGTCTTAATTAACATATCAATGAGTATGAATTACATTTGTATTGATTGCTCATGAATATTGATAATACACCATGCAAAGGGTTATAACTGTCATGCAAAATGTTGTTTTAAGGAATATTCCATGTTCAGTATACGTTAAGCTCAATCAACAACATTTGTGGCATCATGTTGATTAGATTACTACAAAAATAATTTGCACTTAACTCTCCTTTTCTTTATAAAAAGCAAAAATTAGGGTTACATTGAGGCACTTAAGTGAATAAAGCAATCCACAAACATTAAAATAATCATTGTTTCAATAGTATAGCCATAAAATGCAAACAATATGTGTTAATGTAATTTTATTTAACCTATTCTGTATTACATAGAATTTTTCAATTGACTTTAACTGCCCACCATAAACCTTACAATAACTATAAAAATTATGAAAATGAACCCCGTTCACTTCAATTACAAGTGTCTAACTTATACTTTTTAAAGAAAACTTGGTTAGACTGATGATTCTTAAGATTGATAAGGTCATCAGCATTATGCCACAATTGCTGTGGATTGTGCTTATCTTGTACTGTACCTGGAATATTTCTTTAAATGCTACATGAACGCTGCATATGCCTGAATTAAAATTCGGCTTTCCCACCATCCAACTATATTATATTATAGGGAAATTTTCAATGCATTTGTGCACAATATGCACAAAGCGCTGGCAAATAAATGGAAATTAAAGGGGTCATATGATGCGATTTCAATTTTTCCTTTCTCTTTGGAGTGTTACAAGCTCTTGGTGCATAAAGAAGATCTGTAAAGTTGCAAAGACTAAAGTCTCAAATCCAAAGAGATATTCTTTATAAAAGTTAAGAGTCAGCCACGCCTACCTAAAACGGCTCGTTCAAACACCCCCCTACATATCTACGTCACGATGTGGGAAGATTTGCATAACGGTGCCCAAATGTTCACGCAAAGAAAGAAGGCGTAACTTGAATTCTTTTACAAGCTCTTGGTGAATAAAGAAGATCTGTAAAGTTGCAAAGACTAAAGTCTCAAATCCAAAGAGATATTCTTTATAAAAGTTAAGAGTCAGCCACGCCTACCTAAAACGGCTCGTTCAAACACACCCCTACATATCTACGTCACGATGTGGGAAGATTTGCATAACGGTGCCCAAATGTTCACGCAAAGAAAGAAGGCGTAACTTGAATTCTTGCTGTTGCCGCTGCTGCCATGTTGTGGAGTCGCTGTGTGTTTCGATTAGAGTCATGAAAAGGCAACTGAACTCACTCCCAGATTTGGTGCTGCTTCCTATGTGCTGTTGGCGAACATGCAGGGTGAAGAACATGTGACAACAATGTGGTGGTCTCCCTCCACTGTCCACCATCCCACTGCGAGATGCAAGAGCTGCATCTAGTAGGAAAGCTGCTCTTTCTGGAGTTGGAGCATTTAGTACACTGTGGTTGCAGAGCTGGGATCAAGATAACAAAATCTAATAATGAGACTCTCAAGTAAATGGGAATGTCTTAATTAACATATCAATGAGTATGAATTACATTTGTATTGATTGCTCATGAATATTGATAATACACCATGCAAAGGGTTATAACTGTCATGCAAAATGTTGTTTTAAGGAATATTCCATGTTCAGTATACGTTAAGCTCAATCAACAACATTTGTGGCATCATGTTGATTAGATTACTACAAAAATAATTTGCACTTAACTCTCCTTTTCTTTATAAAAAGCAAAAATTAGGGTTACATTGAGGCACTTAAGTGAATAAAGCAATCCACAAACATTAAAATAATAATTGTTTCAATAGTATAGCCATAAAATGCAAACAATATGTGTTAATGTAATTTTATTTAACCTATTCTGTATTACATAGAATTTTTCAATTGACTTTAACTGCCCACCATAAACCTTACAATAACTATAAAAATTATGAAAATGAACCCCGTTCACTTCAATTACAAGTGTCTAACTTATACTTTTTAAAGAAAACTTGGTTAGACTGATGATTCTTAAGATTGATAAGGTCATCAGCATTATGCCACAATTGCTGTGGATTGTGCTTATCTTGTACTGTACCTGGAATATTTCTTTAAATGCTACATGAACGCTGCATATGCCTGAATTAAAATTCGGCTTTCCCACCATCCAACTATATTATATTATAGGGAAATTTTCAATGCATTTGTGCACAATATGCACAAAGCGCTGGCAAATAAATGGAAATTAAAGGGGTCATATGATGCGATTTCAATTTTTCCTTTCTCTTTGGAGTGTTACAAGCTCTTGGTGCATAAAGAAGATCTGTAAAGGTACAAAGACTAAAGTCTCAAATCCAAAGAGATATTCTTTATAAAAGTTAAGAGTCAACCACTCCTACCTAAAACGGCTCGTTCAAACACACCCCTACATATCTACGTCACGATGTGGGAAGATTTGCATAACGGTGCCCAAATGTTCACGCAAAGAAAGAAGGCGTAACTTTAATTCTTGCTGTTGCCGCCGCTGCCATGTTGTGGAGTCGCTGTGTGTTTCGTTGTGAAAGCTAAACTACTTTGATTGGCCTTCCAAAAGAGGACACAACTAGAAATCAGTGGTTAAGTTGTATTTACAGCACTGTTCCAGAACAGTTCAACCCAAGTATTCAGATGTGTGCTGCGCATTTTATGGAGGATGAGGACTGTTTCCTGAACCAGTAGCCTACAGTGCGTCTGTGGCACAAAGGCTGTTTCTATAAAGTTGGGCAGTTTCAACTTTGCAAGGACAGTCTGGTGCTTCTGACTCATAGCCTGTAAGTAAGTTTTTTATATTTAAATAATTTAAGTCACACACTTGAGGCATTCGGCCAATCACAACACACTGGATAGCTGGCCAATCAGAGCACACCTTGCTTTTTTAGAACGATGAGCTTTGTAAAAATCTATGCGTTTCAGAAAGGCGGGGCATAGAGGAAAAACAATAATGTACATTATATGGAAAATAATGTGTTTTTTGAACCTTAAACCGCATAAACACATTGCATTGCACCAAATACACAAAATAATGTTCTTTTTAGCAACATCATAGGACCCCTTTAAAAATAAATGAAAGTCTAGATATTAGAACAAAGGAAGTGTGATCAACACTTGCTTGTACTCCACAGACGGGATCCTCTTTGAGGTAAGCATCTGGTTTATAGGTCTCCTTGCAGTTGCCCGTGTCAACATCAGCGAGTAAATCCCTGATGCCATTGTTTTCCCCACAGACCTCTACAGCTGACACAGAAACTGAGATGTTTGCCCATGTCTTGTCTTTCTTCCTGGTAATGAGCTTGAAAAGCCAAGATATAGCACAAGGAATGACTCCAAGGCTTTGAGTGCAACCATCGTGGCCAATCATTGTGTAAGACATTCCTGTAAACCAAAAGAAAGAAAGTGAGAAAGCCACTTTTTTTTTTATAACAGATCATCATTAAGCGGAAAATCCCCTCATAAGGGTTTTGCAGAATAAATCATCTTTCAGAATGACAAAAATCCACAGACTGAAATATGCTTAAATACGTGGTGAATGGCTTTACAAACTGGGGTGTAAAATGCGTTGTGGCAATGTCACGACCAATTAAATGTAAAGCACTTTACTGGCAGTCAAGCATGGGCCGGTTTAAAAGATTTATGATGTCTGGCTGGGAGCCAAGGGCCAAGATGGAGACCGGGTAATTCAATCTAGCTAATAGAGAATGATGTCATACTCCAAATGCCATGTAGAGACTGTTGTCATGATTTTGGGTAGATAACAATTAATAAAAAGGTAAATGGCCTGTGATGACCCACTATATAGCCTCTACATTTGATCCACATTCATTGAGAGGCTCCACAAGTCGCACACAGTGGTAAAAAAATATGTGAATCTGAACCTTTTTGTGTCAACGCTATTGGACGCAGAGCTATACGGAAGCCTGTTTGCCTCAGAGTAAAAAATTAAAAGATAATTGTGAGATGAGGTTTAAAATGAGAAAAAGTCATGCTGCAGCATATACGGTCACACTGTGCTTCAAGAAGATGCAAATATGAGAAATAAGGTTTACAATTGTTCGATTTAATATAATATTGCAAGATATTAAGCTACATTGTGAGATATATAAAGTTGTACTTGAAAGATATTAATTTGCAACTGCAAAAAATAGTTGCATTTACCTTTTTTGTTAAGAAAAACAATCCTACAATTAAAACTACAGAGCATTGAACAAAAAACTAAGCATCCTATCATATATCATCCTACTACATATTATTGGAGAATATAGAGCTGATATTGCATTTTATGGAAGTAGTCTATTATACAAATCTAACTGATTTACGTTACAAGCTATCAGAATTTCATCTCACTTTTTGGCCATATAGATAACATCAACAGCATTTTATGTCCAGAATAAAACTGAGGTGTTAATCCATTTTTTTCCCCAAGTGTGAACACCATATTCTCACTACATCATAATATATGAGCCATAAAAAGTCTGACTTATCAAATGTGATACAAAACATAAAACACAAATGCAAGATTTTCACTTATATTTTAGTTCAGTAAACTTTTCCATTAAAAAAACTAAAACGCTGACCTTTATTTCATGTCACGCTTTACAGGTTTAAAAAATATTTTAATATCACTCACTTACCCACATTGGTTTGTCCAAAGCTTAGGATACAACCATCAGCTCCTGCAAGCACACACTGCAGCACTTCACACAAGCTGTTCTCACAAACTTCTGCCTGAAAAATAATATTTCAACTTGTTTTTTTTCCTATTTTTTATGACAACATGGTTTCATCATTTGTCATCTGTACATAAATTACATGAACAATTCAAGGACATTTCACATGGAATCTGTCTCTTGTGATGTGGAATTATTTATCCAAATGTGCATCTAACACTGCTCAGTTGATTGTACTGGATAAGAATATCCAGATATTGGATATCTGCACTCAAGTGACCAAATCTGAGAGTGTTGCAGATGTTTGACTCAGATGGGCTCCAGACAGTAGACATATCAGTTTTCACATCATAAGACAGAAATAACAAAGCAGTGGCCCTGACCTGGGTTGATTCAGGGCCAAAGGCAGCATCAAAGGTGAAGGTCTTTGAGGAGACTGTAGTTCCAGCAGTCTGTCTCTGAGGGTTGAAGGTGGGTACATTCAGCACTGTGATCTGTTTTTTTTGCAGGTCCAGTTTGAAAGAGTAGGACTGAGATGGGTCAGACACAGGAACCGAACACACTCGCAGCATCACTTTGACCTAGAATTGGGGGAACAAACCCAAAACAATATACTAATTGGATATTACATATAAATTTAAAACTAATTTTTTTTTTTATGTATTGCTTGCTCCAAATATAAGGTTAAATTATATTGAAACCTTATATTTATTTATTTACATTATTATTATTATTATTATGTATTTTAGCTTAGGGGTTAGTTAAGTCTTGCATTAGAGGATGGGACTGGTGAAAGCCAAACCATTGTGGTCAACATTGAAATCTCTGCTAATGCAGTGGTTATAATAAGGATGGTGAATGTTTTATGATTTAATACTACCTATACAATATATATTGCAGAGTACCAGACTTTTACTGTGACAAAACATGCTCCTGTAACTATAACCATAATGGTCATATTTAAAACTTAAAATATCCTACTTTCAATAAGCATGATGTCACTGAACACACATCTAAACCGGGTTTAGGTTAATGATTTTTCTGCTATCTAATGCATTTGTCCAGTGATATTATCTTCTCTGTCCTGAGTCTGTCAAATCATATTTACACCAAATGAATTATTTAAGAATCCATTATCTCTACTACAGTTGCTGGATGTGCAGTGCTGAGTGCGTTCTAGCTACCAGGTGCTACTCTGAGAGCGATATAATTTGAAACTCAAGACGAGTCCCATCAGTGTGAACCGTGGAGAGTGAAGTCAGGGCAAGCTACAATTAAACTAAATTGATTTCCCTTCCTCAAGGAGGTGGTGCGATGGAATGGGAAGGTCATTAACATCACATTCAGAGGTTACAGTATGAGCAGCTTCTCTAAACTGTGAGGCAGCTAGAAAACAGCCACTTCTCAAGGACAGACTGAATGGCATCTAAATGATCTGATCAGAGGTGTGGTATGCAAGGAAGGAACATTTTTCCATTGAATAATCCTAAAAATGTATCATGGTTACAAAAATATTAAGTGGCACAATGTTTTAAACATTGATAATAAGAAAAGAGCATATTACATTTACAGGATCATGTGAAACTGAAGATATGAGTAATGGCTGTGGAAAATGCAGCTTTGCCATCAAAAAACAAAAAAACTAAAACATTTTATAATATATTAAAATAGAAAACAGATACTTTCAATTGTAATGATACTTCACAATATTACTGCCTTTACTGTATTTTGATCAAATAAATGCAGCCATTTAAAGGAGTCATATGATGTGATTTCAATTTTTCCTTTCTTTTTGGAGTGTTACAAGCTCTTGGTGCATAAAGAAGATCTGTAAAGTTGCAAAGACTAAAGTCTCAAATCCTACAATGCTACATAAATTACATGAACAATTCAAGGACATTTCACATGGAATCTGTCTCTTGTGATGTGGAATTATTTATCCAAATGTGCATCTAACACTGCTCAGTTGATTGTACTGGATAAGAATATCCAGATATTGGATATCTGCACTCAAGTGACCAAATCTGAGAGTGTTGCAGATGTTTGACTCAGATGGGCTCCAGACAGTAGACATATCAGTTTTCACATCATAAGACAGAAATAACAAAGCAGTGGCCCTGACCTGGGTTGATTCAGGGCCAAAGGCAGCATCAAAGGTGAAGGTCTTTGAGGAGACTGTAGTTCCAGCAGTCTGTCTCTGAGGGTTGAAGGTGGGTACATTCAGCACTGTGATCTGTTTTTTTTGCAGGTCCAGTTTGAAAGAGTAGGACTGAGATGGGTCAGACACAGGAACCGAACACACTCGCAGCATCACTTTGACCTAGAATTGGGGGAACAAACCCAAAACAATATACTAATTGGATATTACATATAAATTTAAAACTAATTTTTTTTTTTATGTATTGCTTGCTCCAAATATAAGGTTAAATTATATTGAAACCTTATATTTATTTATTTACATTATTATTATTATTATTATGTATTTTAGCTTAGGGGTTAGTTAAGTCTTGCATTAGAGGATGGGACTGGTGAAAGCCAAACCATTGTGGTCAACATTGAAATCTCTGCTAATGCAGTGGTTATAATAAGGATGGTGAATGTTTTATGATTTAATACTACCTATACAATATATATTGCAGAGTACCAGACTTTTACTGTGACAAAACATGCTCCTGTAACTATAACCATAATGGTCATATTTAAAACTTAAAATATCCTACTTTCAATAAGCATGATGTCACTGAACACACATCTAAACCGGGTTTAGGTTAATGATTTTTCTGCTATCTAATGCATTTGTCCAGTGATATTATCTTCTCTGTCCTGAGTCTGTCAAATCATATTTACACCAAATGAATTATTTAAGAATCCATTATCTCTACTACAGTTGCTGGATGTGCAGTGCTGAGTGCGTTCTAGCTACCAGGTGCTACTCTGAGAGCGATATAATTTGAAACTCAAGACGAGTCCCATCAGTGTGAACCGTGGAGAGTGAAGTCAGGGCAAGCTACAATTAAACTAAATTGATTTCCCTTCCTCAAGGAGGTGGTGCGATGGAATGGGAAGGTCATTAACATCACATTCAGAGGTTACAGTATGAGCAGCTTCTCTAAACTGTGAGGCAGCTAGAAAACAGCCACTTCTCAAGGACAGACTGAATGGCATCTAAATGATCTGATCAGAGGTGTGGTATGCAAGGAAGGAACATTTTTCCATTGAATAATCCTAAAAATGTATCATGGTTACAAAAATATTAAGTGGCACAATGTTTTAAACATTGATAATAAGAAAAGAGCATATTACATTTACAGGATCATGTGAAACTGAAGATATGAGTAATGGCTGTGGAAAATGCAGCTTTGCCATCAAAAAACAAAAAAACTAAAACATTTTATAATATATTAAAATAGAAAACAGATACTTTCAATTGTAATGATACTTCACAATATTACTGCCTTTACTGTATTTTGATCAAATAAATGCAGCCATTTAAAGGAGTCATATGATGTGATTTCAATTTTTCCTTTCTCTTTGGAGTGTTACAAGCTCTTGGTGCATAAAGAAGATCTGTAAAGTTGCAAAGACTAAAGTCTCAAATCCTACAATGCCGGTGTCTGTTTCTATAAAGTGGGGCAATTCCAACTTTGCAAGGACAGTCTGACTCTTCTGACTCACAGACTGGAAGTACGTTTTCATATTTAAAGAATTTGCCACTGGCGATTCAAACGCAAGTTTTGAGCAGTGTAGAGTAGCACTTGTTGTTTGTCATTTCTCCGATCACAAATGCAGACATGGTTTTATGTCATTATAATCAGTAATTATGTCCCCACTGGATGCAACAAATGCCTCATTTATAATGGGTTTTATTGTTTTTGTCTCATCGCGCCGGGACACGGCATCACAGTATAGTAAGGGGCGTAACATTTCCGTCACACGCTTGAGGTATTCGGCCAATCACAACACACTGGATAGCTGGCCAATCAGAGCACACCTCGCTTTTTTAGAACGATGAGCTTTGTAAAAATCGATGCGTTTCAGAAAGGTGGGGCATAGAGGAGCAACAATAATGTAAAATATGTGGAAAATAATGTGTTTTTTTAACCTTAAACCGCATAAACACATTGCATTACACCAAATAATGTTCTTTTTAGCAATGTCATATGACCCCTTTAAAAAAATCTTACCAACCCCAAAACATTTCCATGGTAGTGTAATTCTGACATCTTACTCATTATTTCTCACAATTAGTAACTTATCTCTCATAATCAGACAAAATATTTTATAATGTGACTAGTTTATATCTCACAATTTATTTATTTCCCGCAGTGTGTTTTAACTTTTACTTTAAACTTACAAACCTTTACTCTTCCATATTTCTACAATCTCTTTCTCATGCATGCATATTTATACAATCAGTAACTGAAAACTTAACAAAACTATTACATAACAGCAGAACATAAACCAATTTACTGAGTGCACCTTAAAGAAAAACAATCTAAATTCTGTCTATTACTAATTGAAAAGCAAATTAACAACTCCTATTATCTAACAGTACAATATCACGTAATAATAGAAGCATCCATACATTTTGGTGGTGTTAGGTAGCAAACATTCATCAATTAACATTTGTAAACATTTAAGCCATACCTTTCCCATCCCAGGTGTTTCCTTGCTCTTACTAGCAGCTTGAAAAATGTTTGCTGGTGCTAGAGGAGGAGATTTCTGCAGAAGACTATTGAAGTTTGTCATGCGTTGGGAAGCACTGCTCTCTGAGAAGTGCCTTCCTCTTCTAACCATTACGTTCAACTTCTGTGCTGCCCTATGGAAGTTCAGTGATTTGACAGAGTTTAGCTTAGATGCATGCACATGACAAAAGCATTTCTTTCTTTTCTACAGCACACACCTTTAGTTATTTTAGTTATTTTTCATTTTCTGGTCAGCACCTCTTACCTGACAAAGAAAGACAAGGCAGCAGATGTTCCTGCAGGGAGCAGAGAGGACATACTGGAAGAACGCGTCGGCTGTGTGGCGCCGTAGTTGCATAGTGCTGTAGAGGTTACATTCTCCTTTTCATTCACCTTCCCTGCATGCAAAGGACTCTGGGAGGACTGAGAAATATTTATCTTCACTGATATAGTCAAGCTCAGTAATTAAAGGAATAGTTGACCTGCAAATAAAAATGTACTGACTTTCTTTTCAACTGGAAGAACGCGTCGGCTGTGTGGCGCCGTAGTTGCATAGTGCTGTAGAGGTTACATTCTCCTTTTCATTCACCTTCCCTGCATGCAAAGGACTCTGGGAGGACTGAGAAATATTTATCTTCACTGATATAGTCAAGCTCAGTAATTAAAGGAATAGTTGACCTGCAAATAAAAATGTACTGACTTTCTTTTCACCCTCAGGCCATCCAAGATGTTGATGAGTTTGTTTCTTCATCGGAACAGATTTGGAGAAATTTGGCATTACATGACTTGCTCAACAATGGGTCCGCTGCAGTGAATGGGTGCCGTCAGAATAAGAGTTCGAACAGCTGGATAGCTGGCCAATCAGAGCACACCTCGCTTTTTTAGAACGATGAGCTTTGTAAAAATCGATGCGTTTCAGAAAGGTGGGGCATAGAGGAGCAACAATAATGTAAAATATGTGGAAAATAATGTGTTTTTTTAACCTTAAACCGCATAAACACATTGCATTACACCAAATAATGTTCTTTTTAGCAATGTCATATGACCCCTTTAAAAAAATCTTACCAACCCCAAAACATTTCCATGGTAGTGTAATTCTGACATCTTACTCATTATTTCTCACAATTAGTAACTTATCTCTCATAATCAGACAAAATATTTTATAATGTGACTAGTTTATATCTCACAATTTATTTATTTCCCGCAGTGTGTTTTAACTTTTACTTTAAACTTACAAACCTTTACTCTTCCATATTTCTACAATCTCTTTCTCATGCATGCATATTTATACAATCAGTAACTGAAAACTTAACAAAACTATTACATAACAGCAGAACATAAACCAATTTACTGAGTGCACCTTAAAGAAAAACAATCTAAATTCTGTCTATTACTAATTGAAAAGCAAATTAACAACTCCTATTATCTAACAGTACAATATCACGTAATAATAGAAGCATCCATACATTTTGGTGGTGTTAGGTAGCAAACATTCATCAATTAACATTTGTAAACATTTAAGCCATACCTTTCCCATCCCAGGTGTTTCCTTGCTCTTACTAGCAGCTTGAAAAATGTTTGCTGGTGCTAGAGGAGGAGATTTCTGCAGAAGACTATTGAAGTTTGTCATGCGTTGGGAAGCACTGCTCTCTGAGAAGTGCCTTCCTCTTCTAACCATTACGTTCAACTTCTGTGCTGCCCTATGGAAGTTCAGTGATTTGACAGAGTTTAGCTTAGATGCATGCACATGACAAAAGCATTTCTTTCTTTTCTACAGCACACACCTTTAGTTATTTTAGTTATTTTTCATTTTCTGGTCAGCACCTCTTACCTGACAAAGAAAGACAAGGCAGCAGATGTTCCTGCAGGGAGCAGAGAGGACATACTGGAAGAACGCGTCGGCTGTGTGGCGCCGTAGTTGCATAGTGCTGTAGAGGTTACATTCTCCTTTTCATTCACCTTCCCTGCATGCAAAGGACTCTGGGAGGACTGAGAAATATTTATCTTCACTGATATAGTCAAGCTCAGTAATTAAAGGAATAGTTGACCTGCAAATAAAAATTTACTGACTTTCTTTTCACCCTCAGGCCATCCAAGATGTTGATGAGTTTGTTTCTTCATCGGAAGAGATTTGGAGAAATTTAGCATTACATGACTTGCTCATCAATGGATCCTCTGCAGTGAATGGGTGCCGTCAGAATGAGAGTTCGAACAGCTGATAAAAACATCACAATAATCCACAAGTAACTCACACAACTCCAGTCCATCAATTAATATCTTGTTAAGTGAAAAACTGTGTGTTTGTAAGAAACAAATCCATAATTAAGGCGTTTAAACCATCACTTCTGGCCAAAATAGGTTTCCTAATCCATAAGAACGCTTCCTTCAGTAAAAAGTTCATCGCCTGTTGTCCTCTCACATCACATATTTTTTATTCAGAATTGTTTTTGATTGTAAATGTGCTTAATCTGCATTCTCTCCTGATTCAGACAACACAGCATTTTCACTGGAGAAAGCCATATTAAGGATAGAGAACTCACATTTTAACTAGAAGCAGTGGTTTGAAGTTAAAAACCTCTTTTTGATGAATTTGTTTATTACAAACACAGATTTTCACAAAACGTTAATTGATGGACTGAATTTGTGTGGATTACTTGCGGATTACTGTGATGCGCAGTTTTGACGGCACACATTCACTGCAGAGGACCCATTGTTGAGCAAGGGATGTAATACTAAATTTCTCCAAATCTGTTCCAATGAAGAAACAAACTCATCAACATCTTGGATGGCCTCAGGTTTCAGCAAATGTTCATTTTTGGATGAACTATTCCTTTGATACACTAAATTGGACAGGCAATATGTTTATTTAGTTCAAAGAATTTTAACTGAATGTCTTTCGGACATTGATTTAAAAAAATATGCCAGTGTGAACACTACACCCTGAACATGAGTGTGTTTAATGCACTGCAGTCAGACACTATTATTAGTGAATGCCACTACAAGCTGAGTCATATGTACAGATGAAGTCATGAACCTCTTTATATGTATCTCAGCATAAGGCAACGAATGCCTGAGGCTGCAGGCGCTGACGGGACGAGTCATACTTCAGCCCAAAATCTAACCTCTTCTCTGCAGAATAAAAATATTCAGACTGTATTTCTTTGCCTCTGTTCAAGAAAACCATCGCTTGCCTGCAGTCATCCGCATATCTAGAGTCACTCCCTGCCTTTATGTCTCATCAATGCTTCAATCCAGCCATGCGAAATAGGAGCCCCCTCTTTGCACCCCTTCATTGGCAGAATGTATCGCCAATTAGCGCTGGGAGCAACCCTTGGGCAGAGATAGCAATATTGGATCTACTGTTATTTTCTTCTCCATCTCTGCTTTCTTTCTCTCACTTCTCTGTCCTCCAGAGAGAATCTGAGATTTAATTATGTGCACATCTTTTTTTTTTTTTGCCGTTACGCTTTCCATGCTTATCTATCTGTGTTTGCTATTCCAAATACAAGTCTACAAAATGCATCTCTTCTGCTTTTACTCCATGCATTAATCTTTTTTTGTTTTTAAATTCCACTTCAAGGACTGAGTGAGTCCACCTTGGATGTTTGTGTAATGAAATGGAGCTGGGCTAATGGACTCGGTCTGCCATCATGCTCTCGGTCAGCGTCATATAAAGATCAGGTACTGAGTGCTGATGGAGCTGTCTGAGACGTTCACTCTCTGCCTCACTTCCATAATGTATTCTCATTTCATCTGTATTTACGAGCGCTGTGTATGAATATTTCACTGGTCATTAAATATTACAGCGATATTGATCAAGCTTCTTTTTTTCTGACAGGCTTCTCTGTGGCATGGATAAAATGTGGGTTTAACCATTAACCAGAAAAAATCCTGTATCATCTGCTTCTGGATCTAATCAAGGCCGACTAGAGGGGGTTGTGTATCATAAGACGACATGCATGTGTCCTGGTGTGTCCTGGTGAGCAGACATGCATATTTAATTTCTATACTCTTACATTATGCACATGGATGATGTACTGGACATAAAATATGAACAGCAGAGTGCTTCTTTCTTTGCTACAATTATTTGGAAAGACTGTAAGACTTTATCATGTTTTTAAAATAAGTGTCTTCTGCTCACCAAGGCTGCATTTATTTGATATTAAAAATATGGTACGAATATTTTGAAATATTATTGCATTTTAAAATAACTTTTCTTTAAAATGTAATTTGTTACTGTGATTGTAAAGCTGAATTTTTCAGTATACATTACTCCAGTCTTCAGTGTCATATGATCATTCAGAAATCGATTTAATATGCTGAATTAGTGTTCAAGAAAGATTTCTTATTAATACCAATTCTGAAAGTTTGTGCTGCTTATTATTTTTGTGAAAACCATGAAACATTATTTAAAGAGTCTTTGATGAATAGAGATTTCAAAAGAACAACATTAATTTGAAATAGAAATCTTTTGTAACAATGCAAAAGTCTTTACAGTCAATTTTATCAAATGAATGTCCTTGCTGAATAAATGTGTTAATTTCTTGACCAAAAAATTTTTTCAATTGTAATGTATGTTTAGTATTATATTAAAATGATAGTTCACCCAAAAATTCTATCATAATTTATTCACCGTCATGACATATCAAACTTGTATAATTGTCTTTATTCTGTGGAACACAAACGAATATAATTTGAAGAAGTCAATGGGGTCCAAAACAACACTGAACCCAACTAATTTAAATTTTATGGACGAAAACACTTTAAATCTTCTTTTGTATTCCACACAAGTAAGAAAGTAATATGATCTTAGAATGACATGAAGGTGATTAAATAATTTTAATTTTGGCTTAACCAACCCTTTAGACCTAAAGTGTTAGCGTGAACAACAGCAATGCATACAGCAATAAATACATTTAAAAAATAAAATAAAAAATTGCCCTACCTTTTGAGACATTGAATTGTTTCCTTTGCATGAGGACAGGGGCCACAGGGCCTCCAAATGCTGACGTCCTTTAATCCAGTAATCCGGTGCTGCATTGCTTTTCCTCTGATGGGGGTCTGAGACAACAGATCGGTGGCTTGAGGTTCTGGGGAGCGTTTGTGAGCCTGGGTCTAGGCTTGTGGATGGGATGTTGGCAGTGGTAGGTGGAGCCCATATGGCCCGGTCCTGGGTGAGGATCGTGCGGATAGCCTCCTGCTTCAGCTGGCTAAAGTGAGCGGAGCAGACGCCACAGCGTCCATCCGCATTGCCCCAGGCTTCTACAGTAATAGCAGGTGGTTTCATGCTCTCATAAAGATGAATGAAGACTTTGGGATCCTGAGGCACAGAAAAAAATGTTGTTGGTGACTGTTAACTCATCAGAACATATCAGAAACTGTGTTGATAATTACATATATTAAAGAAATCTTTTAAAGGGGTCATATGATGCTGCTAAAAAGAACATTATTTTGTGTATTTGGTGTAATGAAATGTGTTTATGCGGTTAAGGTAAAAAAAAACACATTATTTTCCACATACAGTCTTACAATCTGTGAGTCAGAACAGCCGGCATTGTAGTCTACTCTACCAGGATCAGGAAACAGTCCTCCATAAAATGCGCTGCACACATCTGAATATTTGGGTTAAACTGTTCTGGAACAGTGTTGTAAATACAACTTAAAGGTCCCCTGAAATGCTTAGAAACATGCAGCGTTACTCTTCTTCTTCTGAATTTTTTGGCGCATTCCGCACTATAGGAACATACCGCAGCGTTACTCTATGTGTTGACATCATTTTAACTGAAACAGGAAGACAGGGCAGGACATATCAAGCAGCCCCACCCTTTTTTTAAATAGCCAATAGCATTCGTTTATATCACCGCTTGGGCTAGAGCCGTTCAGAGCCGTATCAAGCTTCTTTTTTTCTGACAGGCTTCTCTGTGGCATGGATAAAATGTGGGTTTAACCATTAACCAGAAAAAATCCTGTATCATCTGCTTCTGGATCTAATCAAGGCCGACTAGAGGGGGTTGTGTATCATAAGACGACATGCATGTGTCCTGGTGTGTCCTGGTGAGCAGACATGCATATTTAATTTCTATACTCTTACATTATGCACATGGATGATGTACTGGACATAAAATATGAACAGCAGAGTGCTTCTTTCTTTGCTACAATTATTTGGAAAGACTGTAAGACTTTATCATGTTTTTAAAATAAGTGTCTTCTGCTCACCAAGGCTGCATTTATTTGATATTAAAAATATGGTACGAATATTTTGAAATATTATTGCATTTTAAAATAACTTTTCTTTAAAATGTAATTTGTTACTGTGATTGTAAAGCTGAATTTTTCAGTATACATTACTCCAGTCTTCAGTGTCATATGATCATTCAGAAATCGATTTAATATGCTGAATTAGTGTTCAAGAAAGATTTCTTATTAATACCAATTCTGAAAGTTTGTGCTGCTTATTATTTTTGTGAAAACCATGAAACATTATTTAAAGAGTCTTTGATGAATAGAGATTTCAAAAGAACAACATTAATTTGAAATAGAAATCTTTTGTAACAATGCAAAAGTCTTTACAGTCAATTTTATCAAATGAATGTCCTTGCTGAATAAATGTGTTAATTTCTTGACCAAAAAATTTTTTCAATTGTAATGTATGTTTAGTATTATATTAAAATGATAGTTCACCCAAAAATTCTATCATAATTTATTCACCGTCATGACATATCAAACTTGTATAATTGTCTTTATTCTGTGGAACACAAACGAATATAATTTGAAGAAGTCAATGGGGTCCAAAACAACACTGAACCCAACTAATTTAAATTTTATGGACGAAAACACTTTAAATCTTCTTTTGTATTCCACACAAGTAAGAAAGTAATATGATCTTAGAATGACATGAAGGTGATTAAATAATTTTAATTTTGGCTTAACCAACCCTTTAGACCTAAAGTGTTAGCGTGAACAACAGCAATGCATACAGCAATAAATACATTTAAAAAATAAAATAAAAAATTGCCCTACCTTTTGAGACATTGAATTGTTTCCTTTGCATGAGGACAGGGGCCACAGGGCCTCCAAATGTTGACGTCCTTTAATCCAGCAATCCGGTGCTGCATTGATGGGGCTTTGATGGGGGTCTGAGACAACAGATCGGTGGCTTGAGGTTCTGGGGAGCGTTTGTGAGCCTGGGTCTAGGCTTGTGGATGGGATGTTGGCAGTGGTAGGTGGAGCCCATATGGCCCGGTCCTGGGTGAGGATCGTGCGGATAGCCTCCTGCTTCAGCTGGCTAAAGTGAGCGGAGCAGACGCCACAGCGTCCATCCGCATTGCCCCAGGCTTCTACAGTAATAGCAGGTGGTTTCATGCTCTCATAAAGATGAATGAAGACTTTGGGATCCTGAGGCACAGAAAAAAATGTTGTTGGTGACTGTTAACTCATCAGAACATATCAGAAACTGTGTTGATAATTACATATATTAAAGAAATCTTTTAAAGGGGTCATATGATGCTGCTAAAAAGAACATTATTTTGTGTATTTGGTGTAATGAAATGTGTTTATGCGGTTAAGGTAAAAAAAAACACATTATTTTCCACATACAGTCTTACAATCTGTGAGTCAGAACAGCCGGCATTGTAGTCTACTCTACCAGGATCAGGAAACAGTCCTCCATAAAATGCGCTGCACACATCTGAATATTTGGGTTAAACTGTTCTGGAACAGTGTTGTAAATACAACTTAAAGGTCCCCTGAAATGCTTAGAAACATGCAGCGTTACTCTTCTTCTTCTGAATTTTTTGGCGCATTCCGCACTATAGGAACATACCGCAGCGTTACTCTATGTGTTGACATCATTTTAACTGAAACAGGAAGACAGGGCAGGACATATCAAGCAGCCCCACCCTTTTTTTAAATAGCCAATAGCATTCGTTTATATCACAGCTTGGGCTAGAGCCGTTCAGAGCCGTTAAGACTAACATATTGATACTAACACCCAAAAAACTTACATTTTGATTTCATGGGGACTTTAATTACTGATTTCTAGTCGTGTCCTCTTTTGAAAGGCCAAACAAAGTAGTTTCGCTTTCACAACGAAACAGCATCACACACCGCAGCCTTGTCTAGAGTATGCGGAGACCGGATTGAGTGAGAAGAGGTGGGTGGGCTTGAGAATGGTATGGCGGGCGAGCTTGCGGCAACCACATGTGACGACCCCGGGCTGGACTCCGCTTTGTCCACAGTGAAAGCTGATCCGGTGATCGACAGCGCGAAGTTGATGTATTTCCTCAGCGACCTCCACGGATCAGCTCTAGGCATGACGAAGCGGATATTGTCCTCTTTTGGAAGGCCAAACAAAGTAGTTTCGCTTTCACAACGAATCACACAGCGCCTTCATGACATGGCGGCGGCGGCAACAACAATACTACAGCGAGAATAAAAGTTATGCCTTCTTTCTTTGCGTGAACATTTGGGCGGCATTATGCTAATCTTCCCACATCGTGACGTAGACATGTGGGGGTGTGTTAGAATGAGCCATTTTAGGTAGGCGTGGTTGACTCTTAACTTTTATAAAGAATATCTCTTTGGATTTGAGACTTTAGTCTTTGCAACTTTACAGATCTTCTTTATGCACCAAGAGCTTGTAACACTCTAAAGAGAAAGGAAAAATTGAAATCACATCATATGACCCCTTTAACATGATTTTTAAACCACAATTTTTTTTGGTGACATGATAAATACTCAGTATTGTTTTAGGATCACTGACATCATTAATATTTTGTTTTCATTTTTATACTTTCCATTTCATTTTAATATCAGTTAAAGTTTTGTTGTGTTTTTGTATAAAGAGGCTATATATATGTGTGTGTGTGTGTGTGTGTGTGTGCTCGCGCGTGCGTGCGTGCCTGTGGCAACTATAAAATACAATTTATTTTATATTTCATTTGATTTCAGCAACAAAATAGTTTTTTATGGTTTTAATATTAGTTTTAGTTTTAGTTACCTATAATAGCCCTGATAATCCCATCCTATCTTTATCTTAAAGTAATTTCTCAATCCATCTAAAATATTATGGGGGGAAAAGCCAAAGATTTTGAGTTTACTAAAAAAATCAACTATGATCCACTAACCTATTTTTTCCTACCACCAAATACTGAGACACATGCCGTCCACAAATGCATCTCTGTCTCAGCTGATCACATTATAGTGCCATTTACTTTATTGTTCTCAGTAGGAACTGAGTTTTCATATCCCACCCATTATACCCCATATTCTAGTGTAATCAAGGCTAGACGAGTGTCACATGAATCACAGACCAACTGCAAAAGCTAATCGATTTAAATTCGTTTCAGGGGATGGGGAAAAAAAGCATGCGCCTCATATGTAATTGAAATATGAGACAGACTGTGGCTGATGGGGTGGACATGAATGCAGCAGTCCACTAAACACCACCCAAGAAAATGCATGATAATCGTTTCTAAATGCATGCAAATAGATGATACAAGGAATATACTTACTTTAGTAGAAAGATTTTCGTCAGTTACTTGTTTTAACGCTTCCCTTTTGAAGACGTTGAAATGAGAGATGCACTTTTTGCACAAATGTCCGGTGTCGAATAACGTTTCTCTTTTCATCCCGGTGGACTTGATGGAGTTGTATTCAGGGGGGTAACCGTTTAACGATTCTTTGGACCATTTTGACCGTAGGAGAGAGTTAGTGAGGGGTGTCGGGAAGGAGCTTGCGAACCCTGTCCAAGGTGCTGCATGAGAATCATATGCTGAAGAGCCAGCGCCTTCGGGCGGGAGACGCTCCTTCTGCGCTGCCGCTGCGTGACCCTTGAACACGGGGCCCATTTTGACGTTGCTCATCTGTGAACCGTAAACCGCCTATATTCAACACTATGCTTCGTTATAATGGAATATAACTGAGCTAACAAATGATGCATATTACTTACAGTCATACAGAAGTACTTAGTCACCTACTTACCATGAACCGCTCACTGCCTGTTGTTTCACAGTATCCTGTTTGATTCTTCATATTCAATAAATTCGTTATCTCAACGCGTCCTCCACAGCAAGTTTCCAATCGCTTAAAAAATAATAATAATAAATGTTTCACGCAAAAAAGATGACTTTACTTCGAAAAGAAAGAGACGCGTTGTCCTCGTAGCGCATGCTGTGATTTCGCGTACCGTGCTTTTGTGTTCTTGGAGAACTCCGGTGAGTAAAAGTGAATATTTGATTTTTGTTTACGCAAATGCAAAAAGTCCTTGAATTAAATCATCCCTCGCGAGCTGTTCTGTCAGTTGCCGTTGTTTTTAATGCCCATTTTTGAACTTTATCTTGTAGGGAAACTGTGCAAGCAAGGCATATATGAAGAAAAAAAGAAGATTTTTATAGCCTATTCATCCTTGGGTTGTTGTTGCATTATGTCTTCATCTTTTTTGTTCATATTCAATAAATTCGTTATCTCAACGCGTCCTCCACAGCAAGTTTCCAATCGCTTAAAAAATAATAATAATAAATGTTTCACGCAAAAAAGATGACTTTACTTCGAAAAGAAAGAGACGCGTTGTCCTCGTAGCGCATGCTGTGATTTCGCGTACCGTGCTTTTGTGTTCTTGGAGAACTCCGGTGAGTAAAAGTGAATATTTGATTTTTGTTTACGCAAATGCAAAAAGTCCTTGAATTAAATCATCCCTCGCGAGCTGTTCTGTCAGATGCCGTTGTTTTTAATGCCCATTTTTGAACTTTATCTTGTAGGGAAACTGTGCAAGCAAGGCATATATGAAGAAAAAAAAGAAGATTTTTATAGCCTATTCATCCTTGGGTTGTTGTTGCATTATGTCTTCATCTTTTTTGTTCTCCGGTACAGTAGTACCACCCACTTGACATTGCTCTAAGGAATTGAGATCACACACTGTTGTGGTTACCATATAGTGAGATTGATCATGAGATAGCGCCACCCATCGACTAACATTTAAATCTGCAGACGGCAGTGCTGCCCAAATGCGAATTTATAGCCTACAAGACACTGCAAAGAAATTAAAATTAGTGGAAGTGAGTAAAATGGAAATTAGTGTTTTTTTTAAGTATTTGTATAATGAAAACATTTAAATTGTGTAGCTATTAAGATGTGTTGAGATAAAATACTTTTTCTGTTTTGTTAAAGGTGCATTAATCAATCGTTTTTCAACAATTAAAGCCTTATCCCCCTTTTTGCCTTTTTTGAGCATTTGAGCTAAAAGGCCCCCCAACATGGGGCAAAAGATGGGGAGGGGGTTACTAATTGTTGAAAAACTATTGATTGTCATACATGCAGCATCATATTTGAACATATATATGACTATTCAACTAAACACTTTGATTTTACATTTTTTGCATAGCCAACAATTATTATTCTTAACAATAATAAACAATTATTTCCTTAAAATCGTTCCCGGCTAAAAGAAACCTGTTAAACGTGTAGGCATAAGGGTAAACATTGAGAGGCTTATGAAAAACACTAGGGGAGGGGGGAGTTATTTAACTATTATCCACATTTTAAAACAAATGTAAAAGAAAAATATAATTCATATGGGTGACATTTAGAAAGGTCATTATATCGTTTATATGAGGATGCATTTAAATTTGCAATGCTCATTAAAGGATTTCACAATGCCAATGTAAATTATCTTGAATTCACGAGCCAAAATGAATAGCCTAGTCTCTGTGGTCGTAAGCATCTAGGAGGGTCATTACGGTTGAACACGCCCAGTTCCCTCGATGCTGTTGCATTGGGAGGGGTCTAGCACCTAAGGCACCATTGAATTATTTTGCCGGTGAATAGACGCAGAATCACCGCGGCTGTGTGCAATTCAGAGAAGCAAAGCGGCCGTCGGCTCTCCCTGGATTGCAATATTCCAACGATCGAATCTTTTAGTTTTTTATAGTCCATCTACACTGAAACGACAACATGAGTGAAATCAACGTAAAAAAGCTTAAGGTGAACGAGTTGAAGGACGAGCTGAAGAAGCGCAATCTCTCCGACAAGGGATTGAAGGCCGAGCTTATGGAGCGGCTGCAGGCCGCGCTCGATGCAGAGGCCCAGGCCGAAGAGGAAGAAGCTGCCGCGGCAGAAGCAACGGAAGAAAGCGTGGCCGAGGGAACCGATGTTGCGGTCGAACAAGAAGGCATGGGTGAAGAAGAGCCAAAGGGCGAGAGCATGGAGGCCGAGGAGCAAAATGGAGACGGGGGTGATGGTCAGGACGACGAAATGGGCAAAGAGGAGGAGGATGGGGACGCCGGCGTGGAAATGGACAAAGCCCTCGATGAAGAAGAAGAGGAGGAGGAGGACGAAGACGACGAGATCATAGACAAAATCGACGATGAAGATGGTGAGCCTGAATCTCATCCATTAGAGGGTGAGTTTTTTTGTGTTGAAACGCCGGGAGTAACGTTATCCTGTTCACGTGCGCTTTGAAGCCGGTGAGATCATCGTTTAGCATATGTGGCTAACCCGTGGCTATTGTGTAGATAGCTAACGTGCTAATCCGGTCGGTTTGAGTTTACGCGCTAGTTCGTGGTTTGGAGTTTTAAGATTTTGGAGGTTTCTTTGTTTTTAGCCGTGTTAGCAAAGCCAATCTAATCACCCGCGCGAGCCTATTGTCTTTAGGGGTTGGTTGCTATTGTTGATATTTTCTTACGATTAAAGGTACATTATATATATATCTACAACTAACGGATTTCTGTTCTTTATCGCATTGTTTTTGGTCGGTTTAACGTTAGCTAGTTTCAGAAACCGCTTGCTAGACAATCGCCTCGCTGCATGCTTGAGGCGGGTCGCCCTCGCGTGGACTCACAAGTTGCTGTGCAGAATACCTTGCGGCAGACAATGAAAAAGTGAGGGATACAGTGAAATAAATGCATTTTTAGCGGGTGATAGGGTTAGGAATATTATAAGATGGAGGGAAATTACAAAAAGCGTCGAAAGACAGGGACATTTGTTAGTTTCGGTTCAGGTTACTAGAAGGCGCCATCTACTTCCGTAGCCTACAAGACACTGCAAAGAAATTAAAATTAGTGGAAGTGAGTAAAATGGAAATTAGTGTTTTTTTTAAGTATTTGTATAATGAAAACATTTAAATTGTGTAGCTATTAAGATGTGTTGAGATAAAATACTTTTTCTGTTTTGTTAAAGGTGCATTAATCAACAATTAAAGCCTTATCCCCCTTTTTGCCTTTTTTGAGCATTTGAGCTAAAAGGCCCCCCAACATGGGGCAAAAGATGGGGAGGGGGTTACTAATTGTTGAAAAACTATTGATTGTCATACATGCAGCATCATATTTGAACATATATATGACTATTCAACTAAACACTTTGATTTTACATTTTTTGCATAGCCAACAATTATTATTCTTAACAATAATAAACAATTATTTCCTTAAAATCGTTCCCGGCTAAAAGAAACCTGTTAAACGTGTAGGCATAAGGGTAAACATTGAGAGGCTTATGAAAAACACTAGGGGAGGGGGGAGTTATTTAACTATTATCCACATTTTAAAACAAATGTAAAAGAAAAATATAATTCATATGGGTGACATTTAGAAAGGTCATTATATCGTTTATATGAGGATGCATTTAAATTTGCAATGCTCATTAAAGGATTTCACAATGCCAATGTAAATTATCTTGAATTCACGAGCCAAAATGAATAGCCTAGTCTCTGTGGTCGTAAGCATCTAGGAGGGTCATTACGGTTGAACACGCCCATTTTCCTCGATGCTGTTGCATTGGGAGGGGTCTAGCACCTAAGGCACCATTGAATTATTTTGCCGGTGAATAGACGCAGAATCACCGCGGCTGTGTGCAATTCAGAGAAGCAAAGCGGCCGTCGGCTCTCCCTGGATTGCAATATTCCAACGATCGAATCTTTTAGTTTTTTATAGTCCATCTACACTGAAACGACAACATGAGTGAAATCAACGTAAAAAAGCTTAAGGTGAACGAGTTGAAGGACGAGCTGAAGAAGCGCAATCTCTCCGACAAGGGATTGAAGGCCGAGCTTATGGAGCGGCTGCAGGCCGCGCTCGATGCAGAGGCCCAGGCCGAAGAGGAAGAAGCTGCCGCGGCAGAAGCAACGGAAGAAAGCGTGGCCGAGGGAACCGATGTTGCGGTCGAACAAGAAGGCATGGGTGAAGAAGAGCCAAAGGGCGAGAGCATGGAGGCCGAGGAGCAAAATGGAGACGGGGGTGATGGTCAGGACGACGAAATGGGCAAAGAGGAGGAGGATGGGGACGCCGGCGTGGAAATGGACAAAGCCCTCGATGAAGAAGAAGAGGAGGAGGAGGACGAAGACGACGAGATCATAGACAAAATCGACGATGAAGATGGTGAGCCTGAATCTCATCCATTAGAGGGTGAGGTTTTTTGTGTTGAAACGCCGGGAGTAACGTTATCCTGTTCACGTGCGCTTTGAAGCCGGTGAGATCATCGTTTAGCATATGTGGCTAACCCGTGGCTATTGTGTAGATAGCTAACGTGCTAATCCGGTCGGTTTGAGTTTACGCGCTAGTTCGTGGTTTGGAGTTTTAAGATTTTGGAGGTTTCTTTGTTTTTAGCCGTGTTAGCAAAGCCAATCTAATCACCCGCGCGAGCCTATTGTCTTTAGGGGTTGGTTGCTATTGTTGATATTTTCTTACGATTAAAGGTACATTATATATATATCTACAACTAACGGATTTCTGTTCTTTATCGCATTGTTTTTGGTCGGTTTAACGTTAGCTAGTTTCAGAAACCGCTTGCTAGACAATCGCCTCGCTGCATGCTTGAGGCGGGTCGCCCTCGCGTGGACTCACAAGTTGCTGTGCAGAATACCTTGCGGCAGACAATGAAAAAGTGAGGGATACAGTGAAATAAATGCATTTTTAGCGGGTGATAGGGTTAGGAATATTATAAGATGGAGGGAAATTACAAAAAGCGTCGAAAGACAGGGACATTTGTTAGTTTCGGTTCAGGTTACTAGAAGGCGCCATCTACTTCCGTGCAAGGTCAGTTCAGGATGGTGCGTGTTGATGCTGTTCGCCGGTTATTTGTTGTCAAAGATGTGAGCATTGGCTGGTAAGCCAGCTACATTAGGCTAAATGTATATATCACAAAAAGCACTCATTGTTTTTTGACTGTGAATGCATTACATTTTAGAGAAAGGCACTTTAAAACACAATCAATAGGAATTGCACCACCCACGTTTTTGTCTGATCTGGTTTATGCAATCAGATCAGTGCTTGCATTTTATATCCTGAATGACATAATGACATAACCAAGCAAAATATTCTGTCTGATCAGAGGTGGTTGGTTGATTTTGTAACTCTGGTAGAGTCCGAGCACTCCTGTCGTGTGGGCCACCCTTAAAACCCAGGGTCCAACACGTCCGGGCATTTCATTATTGTTTGTTTTATTTTCAAAGGGGATGCGGACAAAGACATCAGTGCTGATCAGAAGAATAAGAAGGGTGTTAAGAGACGCCGGGAGGAACATGGAAGGGGCTACTTTGAATTTATTGAAGAAAGCAAATACAGCCGGTAAGGATGGGAGCAATGGCCTTCATTATCCCCGAAGTGCCACTTTTAATATATTATATATTGGCTTTAAGTGCCAATGCCTTACCTAGAAAAATACAACCCTCATCTACCTCTTAACTAAAGTAAAACTTTGTTGAGGGTCATTCCTGGCTAATACATAACACCTTACCTTCAGTAAGATCATGAAACTACAGTTCAAAGAGTGCTCTGATGGAAAAAACAATATGTTATTGTTAAACACACACACACACACACACACTCTCACACTGTTGTCAGGCTGACTGTATGCGCGTGTGTCGAATCAGACAGCGAACAAAGCAATGACGATAGCATGAGATGCGGCTTCTGTCATGGCAGGGGAGGGCCAGCGACGTAGAGTTTATATCGCAACGTGTATCATGACGTAATGGGGCGGTTAAGTAATGGTAATGAACCAAAATGTTGTTTAAATCCTCAGACGTTCCTTCGTCGTTTGTATCTTTTTTTTTTTTTTTTTTTTTCCTTGAGTGGTTTTTGTTTCCTTTTTCTTTTTATAATTCTGAAAGGTTAAATGTAATATTTTACTGTTTATTTTTATATTGTAAAAATGTTTTGTGTATTTGGAAAAACCAAAGAACTGTAATAACTTTTCCTTTTAAAGTCTGTTTCATTCGTGGTCAGCAGGTAAGTACAAACGTTTGCAGTTCTTCACATTTCATAAGGAAATGGAAATATGTTTACATCTCTAATGCATGTTCTTTCTCTATACGTGTGTGGTGCTCAATTGCAGATTGAATACATGTAATTTTCCTAGGTTTGATTTTCTGGCTTTTGTGCTGCTCGCCTATAGTGAACCAGTGTTTAGATTTAAAAAAAAAAAAACAAGTTTCAGTCTGCTTATGTTCTTTTAGTATATGGAACAAAAATGTATATATTTTTTTATGTATCTGAATTCCTAATGGAAGATCTCGAGCATGAAAACCCCCAAGCTATTATTTGAACCAAATAAATTGTAGCAATATCTGACCCAATTACTAATGACGTTGCTTGACTTGTTTATTGACTTGAATTTATGGGGCCTGACAAAACATTATAATGGTAGCAACCCCTTACACTAAAAATTGTAAAGACTTGTTTACGACCCCCCTCGTTACAGGACATGACATCTGTGACATGATGTTGGTTGCTACAGAAAACAGTTTGACAAGATTTCACCTCCAGATGTCCCTAAAAACTATTTTTCAGAGATTATGCTGAATAGAAAATATCATCTGGAACAAATTCTAAAGTCTGTATAAGCAAGTAAAGACCGAAACAGCAGTAAGAAGTAAGAACTTTAGATTGTGTTGACCTTTCCAGGAAGATCTGCATGTAGATATAAATATAAAAATACCCTTTGACCTTTTCAGACCATTACCTGATAAGTTGGAAAGGGCAACACTCTTTCCATATAGCACAACATTGCTGCTTTCTATTTTGCCAACAAGTTTTCTTTCAGGCTTCGTCGTGGGGTAAACTGGTAAGCAATGATGGTAAATTTTGCATTCACAATTGTGAATTCACAAAACAGTATAAGATGTTGTGAGCAGCCAGTGTAAGGTAATGTAAATCTGCTGTTGACGCTGCTGTGGCAATGAGGAAGGATCTCACCTGGACATGGGAAGCATCCCAGTCCATCACACTCCTGCTTCATCCATGGCATTAATGAATTACTAACTGTATTTCAGGTCCAAGTCTCCTCTGCCACCTCTTGAGGAAGAAGATGAAGTGTTTGACGACACTCTGGCCTGCCTGGATCCATGTGAGTGCTTTATGTGTTAAGAAGCACGTTGACTAATAGTGTAGTGAACTTTTAATAACCGTATTAAGTTGCTTTTGGACTAACAAGCATATTTTTTCTCAATGTTTCCATAGACAACTGTGACCTTAATTTCAAAGTCTCCCGGGACAGGTACAGCGCCTCCTCTCTTACCATGGAGAGTTTTGCTTACCTTTGGGCAGGTGGCCGTGCCTCCTATGGCGTAAACAAAGGCAAAGCCTGCTTTGAAATGAAGGTGAGTACTACAGCATATTTCATGTAAATCGTTGAGAAAGTGATGCATTTTGAATCATTATTTTTCTCCTGCTTTTGCAGATCACTGAGAAAATCCCAGTCAAGCATTTAAACAGCAAAAACGTGGACTTCCATGATGTCCATGTTGGCTGGTCCCTGGCTAATGGCAGTCTTTTGCTGGGTAAGCACAGTTGGTTAACATTAGCATGTGCTTATGTGGCCACAGTGTATGATTGCACAGCCCTATTTCATCTACTAAAAACACATATATGACTTGTTGCTGTTTTAGGTGAGGGGGAGCATTCCTACTCTTATTCGAGCAAAGGGAAGAAGACTTCAAACTTTGTGACCGAAGACTATGGGGAGAATTTTGATGAAAATGATGTCATCGGCTGCTTCATTGTAAGTTGTTTACATCACTCTCACACAATGATTGTATTTTTCCCTTTTAGTTTACATATTCTTATGTACTTTGGTGTGTTTCTTTATCTTGCATAGAATTTCGAAGCAGATGAGGTGGAGATTTCCTACTCCAAAAATGGAAAGGACCTTGGTGTGGCTTTCAAGGTCAATAAGGAGTCCTTGGCCGGGCAAACACTGTTCCCCCATGTTCTTTGCCACAACTGTGCGGTTGAGTTCAATTTTGGTCAGAGGGAGACACCATTCTTCCCTCAGGTGGAGGGCTTCACCTTCCTGCAGCAAATTCCTGTGGATGTGCGTATCAGAGGACCTAAGGGACCGGAGACCAAGAAAGATTGTGAGGTACTTTTTCCCCCTTAATTTTTTTATTTTATAAACATTGAAACACGAATATACCCTATTGTTCAAAAGTTAGTACTTATCAAATATAAATTTATAATCTTCTATTTCAAAAATGCTGCTCTTTTGAACTTTCTATTCATCAGAAAATGCTAAAAAAAAAATCCACAAAGATGTTAAACAGACCAACTGTTTTCAACATTAACAACAGTGTTGCCAAGTCCGTGGTTTTCACGCAGAGTTGGGCTACTTTAACACTGTTGGCGCGGGTTGTTTTTCATGCTTTCATGTTTTTCATTTCAATAACATGATATTTAGCCCCTGGAATGCAAATTTTACCAGGGAACCCTGCCAAAAAATTGTGTGTATTTTACCACCCTGAACGTGATTAGGCTAGTTTTGAGTAGCAATTGGGCAGGTTTTGTTGTGAAAACCTGGCAACCCTGATTAACAAAAATATAAAATGTTTCCTGAGCACCAAATCAGCATATTAGAATGACATATCATGTGTCACTGAAGACTGGAGTAAAGGCTGCTGACAATTCTGCTTTGCCATCAAAGGAATCTCTTTAGATTTTGAAATAAAAATTGTATCAGAAATCAGTATAAGAGGCTTCATTTAAAACATGTCTTCATGATTGTAATCACTATGTTGGTTTCAAGGTGATCGTCGTGGTCGGCCTTCCTGGATCTGGAAAAACTGCTTGGGTAAATAAACATGTTGAAGAGAACCCTGGCAAGTTCAATGTCCTCGGCACCAACACCATCTTGGAGAAGATGATGGTGAGAAACATTCTTCTTTAAAACTTTTATGTCTGAATCTTATTTTCTTGTCTAATCTCACTTTTTGGACTCGCAGATTGGCAGCATGAAGAGGCAAAACAAAGACACAGCGAAGCTCTCAGCCATCTCTCAGCGTGTTCCTTTGTTCCTGGGCAAGTTTATTGAAATTGCTGCCCGCAAAAAGAGAAACTACATCTTGGATCAGACAAACGTGTCTGCACTGGCCCAGAGAAGGAAGATGTGTCTGTTTGCTGGCTTCCAACGCAAAGCTGTAGTGGTCTTCCCAACAGATGAGGCCTTCAAGGAGAGAACACAGAAGAAAGCAGAAACCGATGGCAAAGATGTACCTGAGCATGCCGTTCTGAAAATGAAAGGCAAGACGTGATGTCATTTCACCATTGCACTTTCTAGTTTTCCTTGTAGTCCAAAACGGCATAGTTTAAATGAAATAAAAACTAACCTGGCACACAAAGTAGGAACGCCAGGAATACAAAAGATTGTTTTTCCTCTCTACAGGTATCTACACGTTGCCAGAGGTAGGAGACTGCTTCTCAGAGGTCACCTATGTGGAACTGCAGAAGGAGGAGGCCGTCAAGCTCTTGGAGCAGTACAAGGGAGAGAGTAAAAGTGCTTTGCCACCCGAAAAGAAACCAAACCAGGGCACCATAACCCCCAAAAAGGGAGGTGGACGAGGCAAAGGGCCTAAGAACCAGTTCGGTAGGGGTGGTGGTCCAGGCCCACGTGGAGGCAGAGGTGGATTTCAGGCCCGTGGAAACTTCAGAGGATGTAAGAGGGTGTTTTAATTTCTTTTTTTTTTTGTGAGCTGTCATGGTAAATATACACTGAGAAATATACATAGTATTTTCTCCTTCTAGTACCAGTACCACATCGAGGTTTTAATCGTCACCCGCGTGGCTACATGCCACCACCGCCGCCACCCCCTGTCTTCCGAGGAGGGTTCCATAGCCGAGGTGGAGCCGGTGGGATGCCCAGCCGGGGAATGGGCCCCAGGGGTGGGCACATTAGAGGCGGCAGAGGTAGAGCAATGGGCCGCGGAGGGCCTGCACACAGAGGTAACATGCACCGCGGTGGATCCAACAACAGAGGACACTTCCAGCCGGTTAGTTTGTATCTTTTGTAACGAAGTACACTACTGTTCAATATAGGGCTGGACGATATGGCCAAAATTTATATCACGGTATATTCCGGTCGATACGGTATAATTCCGATATCGATATGAACACTATTAAAAAAAAACTCGTAAAAACTGCCAAGAACACCCACAACCGATGTCTGTGCATACAAACTTAAGAAAAATTAATTTTACCAAGTCTGTGACACCTCATATAAAACCATATAATATTTTAGGAAAAAAAAATAAAAACAGCACAAATAAATTAATGTTCACCTTGTATTTGTGTTTAGCCTTCATACAAACAAGAAATGTGAAATCACTGTCAAGTAATAGTCTCAGACTCACCTAATTTATATTAATATCTTTAACTTCAAACTATAGGCTGACATACACTACCAGTCAAAAGTTTTTGATCAGTAAGATTTTTAATGTTTTTAAGGAATTATCTTCTGCTTACCAAGCCTGCATTTATTTGATCCAAAATACAGCAAAAACAGTAACATATTGAAATATTTGTACTAATTAAAATAACGGTTTTCTGTTTAAAAATATTTTAAAATGCAAATTATTCCTGTGATTTCAAAGCTATATTTTTAGCATCATTACTCCAGTCACATGATCCTTCAGAAATCATTCTAATATTCTGATTTGCTGCTCAAAAAACATTTATTATTATGATGTTGAAAACAGCTGAGTAGAATTTTTCAGGTTTCTTTGATGAATAGAAAGTTCAGAAAAACATAATTTATCTGAAATAGAAATCTTTTGTAACATTATAAATGTCTTTATCATCACTTTTGATCAATTTAAAGCATCCTTGCTAAATAAAAGTATTAATTTCTATAATTTCTTTCAAAAAAAAAAATCATACCGACTCCAAGCTTTTGAATGGAATAGTGTATAATGTTACAAAAGCGTTTTATTTCAGATAAATGCTGATCTTTGGATCTTTCTATTCATCAAAGAATTCTGAGAAGAAGAAAAAAATGTACTCAACTGTCTTAAATATTGATAATTGGCATATTAGAATTTCTGCATCATGTGACATTGAAGACTGGATTAATGATGCTGAAAATTCAGCTTTGATCACAAGAATAAATTATATTTTAAAATATATTCAAATAGAAAGCAATTATTTTAAATAGTAAAAAATATTTCAATTTTACTGTTTTTGCTGTTCTTTGGATCAAATAAATGCAGACTTGGTGAGCAAAAGAGAATTCTTTAAAAGAAACACACAAAAAATCTTACTGTTCAAAAACTTTTGACTGGTAGTGTAGGCTGATTATTCTTATAGATTGAAACAAATGTGCTTTAGCCAGTATAAAGAGTATGAAAAGTGCTCCGAGTTGCTGCAGAAGAAAAAAAAAAGGGGGGGGCAACTACAAAAACATGCTGCTGGAGACGGGCTTATTGAAAATGCAGACTGATTGCCTGCCAGCAGGAGGCGCTTTGAGAGCGTAGAACTCTTCTTTATCAGATCAAATGAAAATGCCATCGAACTTTTCTGAAGACAGTCCTTTCCCTTCAGAAATACATTCAAATAAAACGCCCGAGACGTGTTTTGATTAGGAAACGTGCAGAGCTCATGTTTATTCAAGTCAAACACCACAAATAAATCAATGTATGGGAACCACTGATAATGTATATCGGAAATGTGTTTAAAAATCATATCACCGTTATTGAAAAAAATTATATCGCGATACATATTGATATTGAGTTATTGTCCAGCCCTAGTTCAATAGTTAGGGGTCGGTAATTCTTTTTTTTTTTTTCAATCTTTTTGAAAAGTATTAGACGTTCTGCATTTCTCTGATTAAAAATACAGTAAAAATAATAATTAATAACAGTAATTCAGTAAAAAGTGCATTTTATTTTAATGTATTTTAAAATGTAATTTATTCCTATGATGGCAAAGTGTCACATGACCCTTCAGAAATTAATATGCTGATTTTTGCCGCTTAAGAAACATATTTCTTTATTTTTTTATTCAATGGCAGAAACAAACAAAACAAACAAAAAAGAGAGAATTGTAAAGTAAATTCCAAATTGCAAGGAAAGAAAGTCAGAATTCTTGAGTTGCCATCTCACAATTCCGATTTTTTTTCCTCAGAATTGCGATTGAATTCATACCTTCCAGTCCAGTTTTTCCTCAGTTCTGAGAACGTTCTCAAAAGTAGCAAGTAGCATTAATTCAGCATTTTTAAATAGCTTATTTTTTTTAGATAAATATTTTATCCCATGAAGGAAAGAAGCTTCCATAAGAAAGTTAATAATTTGCATTTATTGGAAGTCCAGTTTTTCCTCAGTTCTGAGAACGTTCTCAAAAGTAGCAAGTAGCATTAATTCAGCATTTTTAAATAGCTTATTCTTTTTAGATAAATATTTTATCCCATGAAGGAAAGAAGCTTCCATAAGAAAGTTAATAATTTGCATTTATTGGATTTTTTTTTTCCATCATTATAATTATTTCTTTAAAAAAAACAACTCTTACTGACACTAAACTTTTAAATGCTACTGAAACCTCAATTTGACTTTGACTAGGAGAGTAATTTTGAATTTTTAAACATTCATAGAAGTTCCGTGGCAGAGGAGGCCATCAGCAGAATCGTGGTGGTTTTGGCAATAAAAACGGATCTTTTGCCCAAGCCTTCAACCAGAGCTGGCAACAAGGGGTATGTACAGCTATTATGTGTCTCATTGAGAAAGCTAATTTTTTTAAAGGGTCACAGATAAGCCATACAGTGCATAAACATCCAATGAGAAAACCAACTTATTCAATATCATAAGATTGGCTGTTATATTAAGATTACTATATAACAAAATCAAATTGTAGTCCATTTAACTGATGAAACTTTCTTTGACCCTTTAGTTCTGGAACCAGAAGCCATGGAATCAACAGTACCACCCAGGATATTACTAAGTGTGCATTTGTATTAAAGACTCATGGCTTTTGTGCGCTGAAATGCACAGCCACTGAATAACCATCCACTTTTACGGTCCTTGTTTATTATAATTTTTTTAAAGGAAGTCCATTTTTAAATAAGAGAAGCAAGTGGCAAACAAACATTCCGCCTACTGAAGTGAACAGTCTACGTTCTACATAGATGTGTGCTTGCTTCACTCTCTCAGATTTTTGTAAAATGTATTTCCTCCCCCTTTTAGTTTGTATCACAGCTTTGATATATTGTTATATCAGGAATCCCAGCATTTGTCTTGTGTGAGGGATGCTTTGAATTTCAGGGTTGTGAATTTTATTCTGTAAAATGTCATTTTTACTCAATGTAAATTATTATTTTTCAAGTTTTTTTGTGTAAAGGTTGGTGTTTAAAAATCCCTGTGAACTTTAATCTTTTAGAAGCTTTTGTCATTAACCATTCATATTTACACAGCAATTCTGCCCGTCATGTTCAGTGGAGGAGTGAAAATATATTTACTTCTTACAGGTTCATGTTTTTCTTTATTTGTTAGCCCAGACTGTAACAGTTACATCATAGGTTTGCAATAAATGATGTGCTTGCTTTTCTGTGACATTTTTTGGCTTTTGACTGATATCTTGAACAATCCATTTCAAAGAGCCTTTGAATGTCAATCAGATTTGTCTCTTAATTCTGCACCATCAGACTATACTTTATTGCTTTTTTCTTGTAGGGCATACAGTGGAAAGATTTTTTAAAATCAGTTTAGTCAGTTACTTTATAAATTTACGCATTTGTGTCATCTAAGAAACCAAGAGAAGCCACAATGAAGCATTCATGACGTTAAGCACTTGATTGTGCTTATTGCTTTACACAGCTTTGTAAAATCAACACAGCTTTGTCAATAACTCCATCATAACGATGGTGCACTAAGATTACTAGTACTGTTCATCCTGAGTAACATTTTGTGGCAACACTTGTTTTGTTTTTTTTAATGGCTTTGCACAATTTTTAATGCAAAGAGTAATGTTTTAACTGAGTGACTGCTATATTAATCTGTGTAATAATGCAATTAACCTGTTACTGGTGTACATTAAAATGATGTTATAGAAAAAAAAAAATCCCAAATGAATCCCAAAAAGTTTCCTTTGGGATTCATTTGTCAAATGGTGGCCTTGACAACCATTTTAGATCTAACAGACGACAAATAAGCAAGTTCTTTTATGTTAAATTCTCAAATGCATTATTAATGTTACATGGAGTGAGCTGTGGGTAAAAATAGTTGAAGGCCATATCAGAATTTCATACTGGATTTACTAACTCTTTTTCAATTGACATAACCTCATCATTCAGACCACAATAATATCACATCAGTGAGACGTCCTAATTTTCATCAAGCCAGGCCCTTGATTTGTTTGAATGAATATATTTCTTATAAAGTGCCAAATGGCCAAAGAAAAAGGGCAGCTATTTTGATTTGTCAAATGGTGGCCTTGACAACCATTTTAGATCTAACAGACGGCAAATAAGCAAGTTCTTTTATATGTTAAATTCTCAAATGCATTATTAATGTTACATGGAGTGAGCTGTGGGTAAAAATAGTTGAAGGCCATATCAGAATTTCATACTGGATTTACTAACTCTTTTTCAATTGACATAACCTCATCATTCAGACCACAATAATATCACATCAGTGAGACGTCCTAATTTTCATCAAGCCAGGCCCTTGATTTGTTTGAATGAATATATTTCTTATAAAGTGCCAAATGGCCAAAGAAAAAGGGCAGCTATTTTGACTTAAAATTGGTGTATTTTATCATGATGTAATAGTTTAAGTGGAATATTTTGTTGAACTGTGTACCATTTAAATTGATGTAAAAGTAACTTATTTCAGGAAGTAACTCAAGTCAGGATTTCCTGTGGGATGAGATAATGACCGTCCTTTAATAGAATAAGTGATTTTTAACTGGATAGCATGGCATGAGAGATTTGTGACTATTCTGTTTTACTACACAGCCTTTGTGCAAAATATGCCATTTTGAGGATGAAAAATTTCTTTAATAAATTGTACTAAAAATGTGGCATTATGTGTTCTTGAGAGATGGTAGGTGGTACAGTTTATGATGTTTGTATTTTGGCTTTGATTTTTCAACGATGAATGTTAAAAGTGTTTCATGATGTAAAGAAATGTGTCATTAAATAATGTAATAAACCTGTTAGATAAATCATTGTGTTTTCTCCCAGAACTGTTCCCTAAATGCAAAATATTTCCATTAGTATCACTTAGTAGTTAGAACTGTAACTGTATAATTATTTAAAGGAATAGTTCACCAAAAAATGAAAATATTTGCCAAACATTGCTAGTCCCCATTGACTTCCACAGCATTTTTTTTTCTCCTCACAATGAAAGTCTGGCTACCAGCACTTTTCTGATTAGCGACATTCTTCAAAATATCTTCTGTGTTCAACAGAAGAGAAACTCATACAAGTTTGGAACAACTTCAGGGTTAGTAAATGATGACAATTTTTTTTTTTTGGTGAACTATCCCTTTAAATGCAATTGTTAGTACTACTGTACTAGTACAACTCTGGTCAATTCTACTGTCATGAAACAATCATGGAGATTCTGAAAACCTGATTGAAGAACTGCCTTGTGCATTTATGTCTGTGCTCCATGTGGCCAATTGCAAACGAAGACCAAGAAAAATCACTTCAATGAAAAATAGTTTAATTTATATTCAGTCAACATGTTGACATATACAACAAACCATTCTATTTACTGCTGAAAATATAACATTTACAAATCAGTCTTTCATTTCATATGGCATCATATACAAATGCAAAAATAAATGCATATCAATTTAGCAATATTTACAAATTTATACAAAGTGCTTGAGGTATCTCAATAAGGGTTAAGTTGCCAACACCCTTTCTTCGCCTTATAGCTTTTAAGTACATTGCGTCACGTGGTCGATGGCGAATCGCATATTTATACAACTGAAATATTATCCATTGCGCATCCACACTTTTCTACAATCATATTTGGGAACTCGGCGACCTCAATTTCAGTATAATCTCCCTTTTTCACTAAATACATCATCGGTAGCGGCGCGCTTTCCACAACCGCGCACTTCCTCTCTCCGTAACCGTAGTTACGCTTGGGCTGCCGGCAGCCGCCGTTGCACCGGAACGCCTGATACCCGGATGGTTCGATGATCCAGTATTGGGTCCAAGTCAAGGCTCGGAAATTGATGAAGTATTTTTCCCTGCAGCACATTTCACTGTCTTTTATGGTTTCACAGTCTCCACTAGACCTGCAACGTAAATAATATAAGAGAATAGGCTATTAACACATTGTACGTTTTAAATGAAACACATTTGTATTTTTATGAAATTCCTTCCGTAACACTTTACACCACAGAGCCCATATTACACATAAATCACATTTGAATGTATATTTAATTAGGATAACAATAAAGTGATTCTTCTGAGTAGGCTATTCACATTTTGAAAAATTCCACTAACTTTGAATTTCTACATATAGGTACACAGCCATAATTATTAAAAATATATATAAAGTTTAAATAAATAACCCCAAAAAATTATGATTTAGATCTTATTTATAGATTTTTTTTGTTGTAAATATGACAAATTGTGCATAGCCTATAAATAGGCTTACGTTTCATTAAGATGAGGTAAAAGTAGCCTACTTCAAGGAAACAAAAACATATTTGAAGATATTTCAGACTTTTATGTGTATAATACAAGGTACTCCAGTAAAAAATAAAGAAATAAATGTTGTTTATTAGCATAATGCTGCTTTGAAATGAAGCCACGCTTACCCAAACTCCTCGAGGTTGAGGGTGTAAAGAACAAGCTCGGGTTTTCCAAGAGTGTTGTCGTTTGGATCTTGAGTTGTGAAACGGACACACTTGGCCATTTCTGCCGCGTAACTGCCGGGTCTCTCGCCCTCGATCCACACCTCCAGGTGCATGGGCATCTCCATTCGGCTCTTCGACCAATAGTGCACCGCCTGGGTCACATCAAAGCTCTTCCAGCCGGTTTCGTGAATGGGAATCAACCTGAGGAGATAATGGTTGTGACAATTAGCATGCATGTTCCTTAAGGCCAGTCAGCAGTGGAATTAGCATAATGAAGAAAGAATAACGACTGTCTGTGGCCGTCTCTGCTTACCTGGAATCCACTAGTGAAGATCGGTTTGACCCGTCTTTCAGAGGTTCCACCCAGTAGATGCTCACCCGGGCGTTGTTGACGGGTCTGTGGCCCTTTCTCTCTGGTATGGAGCGCTTGTGTGGGGCTTTCTTGAACAGTTTTAGTTCTGCCATGGTCACTTCACTGTTCTCCGGAATCCTTGATATCATCTCAAACACCACGCGTTGACGTGTCGTGTCAGAATATACAAATTCACCAGAGATGTCTGGAATAGACGAGAGCGATTTATTACAAACTATATTTACATTTTGCTTATTGAAAATTCATTTTTGAAAATAGTAGCATTAATTGTTCATTTCCACGGCACTAAAATATAGTATAGTATTTCATTTCATATCATGTGCATTTTCATTTTGCGTATTAATCTTACCTGCATTGCCAGGGATTCCCCTCAGTATGCCGGCTAAACTCGGAAGCGAGCGGCGTTTTCTGGCGTGATGCAGTTTCAGCATGGAAACATATTTGTTCTTGATGTGCGTTGGAATCACAAGGTTCTCCAGATCCCGCTTGTGAATTTTCGGAACTTCACTAAGTCCAAGTTTCTTCAGCATAGCGTCTTTCATGGTTTCGTGGGTGAAACCCTTCACCATTGCGAAAAGTGCTGCGCAAAGGAGGCACGCGGCACGGATTGAAGACATCTTCCGCGTGAAGGTGCTGGAGAGATTCGGACTCTTTGCTGCTGTTCTCGGCCTGAGATGACTCTGCTTTGACAGCGGCCCGTCCTTATATGCGAACATGAGACCCCCAGTTGCTCGCACTTTGACAAAGGGGTGGTGACTGACATCAGAGAGAAGGTGATACATGAAAGCCACGATTCATCGGAGAAATGAACGCACAATGTCCAACTTAATACGATTTCAAATAACCTTTAAATAAAATAGATAGATAGATAGATAGATAGAAATCTATTTTAATAAAGAGATGCTAGATAGATGATAAATTGATAAACATATAGATAGATAGATAAATAGATAGACAGATAGATAAATAGATAGATAGATCGATAGATAGATCGATAGAAATGTATTTTAATAAAGAGATGATAGATAGATGATAAATTGATAAACACATAGATAGATAGATAGATAGATAGATAGATAGATAGCTATACATCTATTTGAATAAAGAGATGATATATAGATGATAAATTGAAAAACATGTAGATAGATAGATAGATAGATAGATATATTGATAGATAGATAGATATATAGATAGATAGATAGATAGATAGATAGATAGATAGATAGATAGATAGATATGCAGACATGTATAGATAGATAGATATGCAGACATGTATAGATAGATAGATATGCAGACATGTATAGATAGATAGATATGCAGACATGTATAGATAGATAGATATGCAGACATGTATAGATAGATAGATATGCAGACATGTATAGATAGATAGATATGCAGACATGTATAGATAGATAGATAGGCAGACATGTATGGATAGATAGATAGATAGATAGATAGATAGATAGATAGACAGATAGATAGATAGATAGATAGATAGATAGATAGATAGATAGAAATGTATAAGATAGATAGATAGAAATTTATTTTAATAAAGAGATGATAGATGATACATTGATAAACATGTATATAGATAGATAGATAGATAAGCAGACATGTATAGATAGATAGATAGATAGATAGATAGATAGATAGATAGATAGATAGATAGATAGATAGATAGATAGATAGATAGATAGTCTCTTCTTTGGGGTATAGGTGATAATATAGTAAACATAATTTAGTATGAATGTAGATTATGTGCTCTACTTGCATTTAATATTATCTTTATCGCTGACACATGATGTTCTTGTTGTGTGGATTTACAGATGACCTTCCAAACATAGTGAACTTAGAACGCACCCTCCTTTCCAGTTTGCATGTGCATGTTGATGTAGCACCCTTGTTCCTATATATATATATATTCTCAACTGATCAGGTTATTGTTGTTGCTGATGTTGCCGGTGGTTTCCAAATTCTTAATTTCTTCATGCCCTTTGTTTTTGCTATAGCTCAAATTGTCAAATTGCTTGCTTTTCTCTCAAAGTCAGCCCCCTCGTCTTCATCCTGGTTTGTGTGTGTCGTCATCGAATGCAAGACTCAGAATGCAAAAGCAATGTATATAACTAATACGACACATTCCCTGCTTTTAATAACTGAACAAGTAATGCAACAGGATACAGCTGATCACTTAGAAAGACATGTGAGGCAACTGTTCCAATACTTTTGCTCTCATCAGATAGTGGGACGAACTGTAAAAGTGCTGATCTTCTTAGCTGGTAAAACATTTATGTGTAGAAACACCCAATAATAAAATGTGACATTCTGTAGTTTTGTCTCATATTCATCTTTTAATCTTATTTATAGATTTCTTGACTCCACAGCGAACAGAGCAATTTTGTCTTTACTGTTCCAATACTTATGAAGGGCAATATATATATATATATATATTATTGGACCATCCTGCAAATCTGGACTTTGAAATGTGAACAAATAAACCCAGGTAAAGATAATAAATAATATACATGCTAAATTTTTATTTTAAACTATATTCTTAACAGTCATGTTAGCTGTGAAATGAATGGGCAACAATCCTCAGTCTAGGGCCCTGCTTGACTCATTTTGTACAATACACATGATCCATGCATGAGTAAACTGAAGTCCTGGATCTTTGTGTGATTTCTGTCAGTCTTCTGTCCTTCCCTTGTCGATTATTTTGAGGCCCTTTGTCAATAAAAGTACCATCTAATTCTCAGGGGTAGTATATCCCTTTATCAAAGGATGGAGGTGCACGCCAATCAACAAAACATGCGCTAATTAACACCTCTCTACTACATACGAAAGACAGCTCTATTCAAACGGATCCCGCGCGCCTCGGTTTGATAAAACAACAAACAATTCTATAGCGACGTCATAAAGGTAACGACTGTAAATATTGCTGCGTTGAAAACTCAGTGTTATTTCTGTCAGCGATTAAGATCATAATGCAGGTCATTTCTGAAAATTGCTCATTTTAATTTAAACGCTTAAGGATGTTTATTGTTGAAACAAATTCTCATGGTCAACAGAAATTAATAATTGAATGTGAACTTCCTGTTCAACATTCTCTGCACCCTGCCGCAGTTTGGTTCTAACATCAAATGTTTTGACATGAAAGACACGATTAGCACCTTATTAGGCCTGGTGTGGCAATTGTCAGATTCAGATTTAGAGAAGAATGGTTATGAGAAAAGAAGATGGCATGTCCTCAAACGTGAACAGCTGTGCTATTGCATTTTCGTTTGATGTGACAAATATGTTTTGCTAACAGCTTGCGTGTTTAGGACATATAAAAGGAAGCATAAATATATGAACATGTTACTGTATATTTATATCTCACTTTTATGATTAGCATATCCTATATATCTAGTCACATAGTTTTAAGGTAGTTGTCAAATAAGATAGCACTAAGATATTTTAAAATACAAACTTTAATGTAACATTTACAAGCATATCTGGCTGCTTCTCTAAACACGTTATATAAAACCACGGACGAATAAGTCCAGACGAGGAGTTCAGAAGCACTTGATTAAATCCCGCACTGCTATTGCAATGCAGAATATTGGACACAAGAGGGCGAACGTGCTAGTTTTTTAAAAAGCTTTTGCACAAGAAATAAGATGCACAAGATAAGAAAATGGGAGGAAAAACGTAATTCTTTGGCTTACATAGCCATGATGTATATTCAATAGACATGACTGTTTTTCAGTGAATGAGTCATCCATCACCACTATTAACAATGCGCATATATATATATATACACACACACACACACACACACACACACGTTTCCTTAGCTATCTAAATGGGGACATTCCATAGGCGTAATGGTTTTTATACTGTACAAACTGTATTTTCTATCACCCTACACCTAAACCTACCCCTTACAGAAAACTTTCTGCATTTTTTCAATTTAAAAAAACTTTTTAAATATATTTTTATACCAGTTTTACAAATGAGGACGTCCCCAAATGGAGTTTTTTTTAGATTTTGTCAGGTTTAGCTCACTTTTGGGTACAAATTTGTCCCCAAAATATGGTTAAGTAGGCACACACACGTACAAATTTGTCCCCAAAATATGGTTACACACACACACACACGTACACACACACACACACACACACACACATACGAATTCCATATACTTTCAAGGTGGGAATTAACCACAAACCAATGAACTCCAAACAATGTTTGTAAAAATATGTATTCTTATATATTACACACTTAAAATGCATTTTATGAATAACCAAAAGAAACAAAAAGTTTTGAGTAGGTCTACAAATAGTGCGATAAGACGCTCAAGAACAGAAGTCGCGTTTGCCTGCATTGGTAACCATAGCAACAGTACGTTGTTCTTTCCGTCACTGTCTGACGTACGTCAACAAAAAAGTCCAGCCGTTTTCACATGATTGTTTATTTACCACAAGCAAAAATAAGAAAACTTAAGTGTTTTGTCATTTTTAAAACAGTTGACGGTTAGCGCACTGCGCTAAAAGACCATTTGGCTTGCGCGAAACGAATCTCAATAGCAAATTGCTAACAGAAATCCCCTAAAAAGGTCGACCCCCTGAAGGTCAACGAATAATTGGGGGATAATTCGCACACTCTTCTCTAGCATACACCACTCTGCTGTTTCCCTCCAGCATATCCCTCCATTCTCTGCAGCAGCCAGCAGATGCCGTGACGGTCGCCATGATGATGTCGGGTTTTGCCTGCAGCAGCAGCAGCAGCAGCGAGCTGTGAGAGACACACACACGGCGACCGGGAGCGGAGCCGCGGAGTCGCGGAGTCCTCCAACTGACATGAACGAGGGGGACGCGTATTTCCAGCCCCTCGCCGCGAAGCTGCTCTCGACAAGTGCATAACAGTTTATAACAGCTCCCTCCGCCAGCGTTTCGTATATACGAAGAGAGGAATTTAAAGGAAAACCAGCTTGCTAAGTCTTTCGCAGTCCTGCCAGAGGAGGGGCATATGGGGCTTTGTAGCAATGCAGATCTCGTGCTGCTGATGCGCTTTTGTTACTGCATAATGGATAACCACAGATATCACCATATCTCAGGGGATTGCTTTAAACTTCTTTGGTGACTTGTTTTGTGAAAAGTGTCCTTCAAACGGGAAGCTGAAATCGGGAATACATAGCCTAAGCCTAGGTTACATACGTCAAATCCACCGGCCAGGGCAGGGTCGATGGCTGTAAGTTCTTTACATCTAAGGACTGTGAATTCATGATGTTGTGGATTGATATGGACGCATCGGTGCGAGAGGGACCATGATTAGGCTCGACAATATTTTCTGAGCCATTAAGTTTTTCCGGAGCGTTCACGCAAGTGTGCCACTGGCCGGTCCCGTTTGCTACCGTGGGAGCAAATACTGACCATACTGTGAGACATCAGCAGCAACTGAAAGCATGTCTGGAGAGGTGCGTTTGAAGAAGCTGGAGAAGCTGATTCTAGATGGCCCGTCTCAGTCCACCGGCCAGTGCTTCAGCGTGGAGACCTTGTTAGATATTCTTGTTTGCCTGTATGATGAGTGCAATAATTCTCCCCTCAGAAGAGAGAAAAACATCCTGGAGTTCCTAGACTGGGGTAAGGCATATTTCACGCACTGCACGCCTTGTCTTTCAGGCGTCCCACACGTCAGTTGTGTAGCGATTCACTGTGACATGCGAGAGGCAAACAAACTATTGTTTTATTGTTTGACGTTAGCCAGCTGTTTAACAGACTAAAGTTAAACTCATTGAGTTGTTTTTGAGGGGGAAACAGAAATGAAGCTGACATCATCGCTGGACTGGTTTGTGCATGAATGTGGAATGTGAAGCTCACCTTTAATGAGTCTTCCTGCTTACTGCTCAAACAAGGTGGATACAGTGCAGTGGGCTTTCATTTTGACATGGGCCACAGCTAAACGAACTAATTTATTTATGGTCTGTGTGCTTGTTCGGCAGCAGAATAGCATGTTGGCTCTTTTTTTGATGGCTTGACAGTTCTTTACATATTGTTCATGTTTATTTTGTTTTAGCCATGTTTTAAATGGCTATACATTATTTATCGGACAGTAGCTTAAGGTGCACTCTTTAATGTTTTAAAGTTTATAAATGACAAAGACTCGAGCAATCAGTCTTAAAGAAAAAGCTGTTTTGTTCTACATGACGCGGGTCTGCCCCTCATGGGCGCCGGCATGTTGAAATCACATGACTAGCTGTGTCACGCAATTGACCGCTTTACTATTAATACTATGTTTACTTTATATAGCCTACCGTTTTTTTTTCAGCTGGTGGTAAAGGCACTTTACAAAGCATAATTGTTAATCTAAGAAAAAAAAACATATTACAGACACAACATAACTGTCTATTTTAAGTCCCTCATATTCCTTTTAATGTATATACACCTTTCTTTCTTTTTAATTAGTTTGTTTCTTTATTCTTTTGCTTTTTATTGTATTTTTCATTTTTATGAACCTATTTATGATTACTATTTGAATTATTAAAAATTTCAATTACTTTATATTTATATTTTATTTAATATAAATATATAGCACTTTGAATTTCGAATTATCACTGCATATGAAATGTACTATATAAATAAACTTGTCTAGACTTTGCCTTGCCTAACACAGCCTAAGTCAACAGCATAATTCAGAGTGATGGTATGGGATATGGAGCAGAGCATTCTGAGCAAACTTCTTACATCCAAGATGTAAGAAGTTACATACATATGTCAGTATCACATCGAAAACAACTAGTACTGTTGAAATGATTTAGATGAGAACCATTTAGATGCAAACATTTATTTGTAAATTATCTTATTGCTAGCTTAAGATGGAGCAGAAGGAATGGCCTTCTATCTCTGCAAAAAAAAGTTTGGCATAATCAACTGTCATGTTATGTAACTGAATAGAATGCAACAAACAGCATGCCTTTAGATTCGCTGGCCACCGTCTGAATGTAGTGCCAATTCACAGCACAGTCCCTGCCTAGTTTGGTGTTTTGTTTACAATCCTCTGGTCCTGTGATTTTAATGAAAATGCAAATCAAACAAGCCTTCAAGTGACTTAGTTAGGCCCATAGAGATGGCAGTGCTGGTCAGTGTTGTCACACAGGTCAGGACGTTTTTGAGATAGAGCTATTGTGTGTCATTGTGCATGTGTGCTTATGCAAAAAAGTGTAAGTGCCCTTTTCCTGTGGGGAGTCTCAGTAGGGCATTATCAGGAAACGCCGCTGGACACATGATGTCATATGGGGAAACGGCTGCGCATAGTGTTTGTGCCCTTTGTGGACTTGACTATTTAAAAACTGACTGGATTGGTCACTCACTCATAAGCTCATTAGCACACACTCACTCATTCATTCACATTTTAATGTACGCCGCTGTGACCGTCATTGGCACAGAGACCAAAGGCACAGTTTATTGTCACTGAGGTCAAATTTAGCTTCACAAGGGACTGCGTGTCTTGCTTCTTTATGACACACTAACACAGTTTTTACGGCGTTTGTATTTCAAAAAGGAGGCTGGAAGTCTGGCGTAACTTTGTAACCAAAAGGCAATGAGGGGATAAATTTGGCTAGTTGCTCTGGTTTTCCTCAGCGTCTGTCAGTTTCTGAGGATGCATCAGCCGCTGATGATATAGGTAAGAACAGTGATGAGGATTCTACATTCAGCATTGACAGATCATAATTGGAGCCTTGAGGCTGTCACAGTGTACTACAACATAATGAGAATCACATCTATGTTGGGACAAGTCCGCTAAGTTGCAATTATATGCAAAACCCCCTGGAATGTCCCAGTCCTCTAGAGAAATGTATGCATAACCATGCGAGACACATAATGAATGATTCATTCGTATTTCCTTCCCTTCCATTGCCAACCAAGTCTAGACCAGTGACCCAGAGCCATATTGTATTGCTCTGATTATATTTTGTATTGTGAAAGAGTGAATTCATGCAGAGTCTCTGGGCTTTTCACTGAAATGGATCTAGGGCCAATTGGCAAAGATGTGTATTTTTTTTGGGGAAGTCGTGGCCTAATGGTTAGAGAGTTGGACTCGTAACCCAAGGTTGCAGGTCGTGAATGTACAACACTCTCTTCCACCTTCAATACCACGACTGAGGTGCCCTTGAGCAAGGCACCGAACCCCCAACTGCTCCCCGGGCGCCGCAGCATAAATGGCTGCCCACTGCTCCGGGTGTGTGTTCACTGCTGTGTGTGTGCACTTTGGATGGGTTAAATGCAGAGCACTAATTCCTAGTATGGGTCAACATACTTGGCCACATGTCACTTCACTTCACTTTTCATTGGTTTTCCCTTGACTGACCCTGTAGAAGATTGGAGGTAGCTTGGGGGAATGGTTTGCCGGGGTTTCCCCACATGATGCTTTCGTTAAGCAGTGCAGTATGTTAAACAGGTATTCCCTCACTAAAACCTACAGGAATACAGAATATTTTGCACTGTCAGTACAAAACCAAATTGGATTAATTTATGGAATCCTTTGACCAGTGAAAATATTGTTCAGTCTTTTGACCAGTGAAAATATAGTTTTCACTTGCAAAAAAAAGTACATACCACAGTTTTTGGACATGTTGCTGTGATAAAATTAAGTGAATTTCATTGGTGTATAGTAGGGTTGTAACGGTATGAGATTTTCACGGTATGATAATCGTCTCAGAAAATATCACGGTTATCACAGTATATATATTAAACAATAATTCTTATCAGTAACAATGACTCTTAAAAGAACAAGAACAAGTTATTTGAGTGAACAAATCCTTTATTACAACAAACTTGAAACCATTTTAATAAAAGTATTGAAGTCTCCCTTCTGAAAAAAAACAATAAAAAATAAAGCTGTACACCTCTATATCACCTATATCACACTTGAACATTTTAATTAATGTTTTAAAATGAAAATGTACAACTCCTTTTATTTTTGGCAAAGTTAAAACATGGACAAACATGATATTCCTTGAAAACAATGTTTAAATAAATTATTTTATTATAAAGAATATTATTATTATTGTTGTTATTATAACTTTGAAGTACATTGTACAATGCTAATATATTT